GGTTAGTGGTTTAGTTTGTTCAACTTCAATGCCATCTTTAACCCACCTTGGAGTAACAAAGCTATGAGTACTGCCACTATCTATAAGGATGGTAAGTGGTTTCCCTCTTATAATTTCTGTAATTCTAATGGTACTATGCCTCACATTTTTTGTTATAACATTTATGGATATCTGTAATTTTTCAGAGTATCTAGCTCTTCTATCATTTTTGGTTTCACATCTTCTTCAAGATTACCATAGTCCTTATCTTTAGTCATCTTATCAGCTTCAATAGCATTAAGTTGTTTGAACTTACACACATGTCAATGAAAAATCGTTCACCATATTTGAAACACAAGTTTTATGCCCTTTTTTGCTCTATCAATTATTGTTTATTGGTTATAGGTGAGGCATTTTGGGTTATTTTTAGTGTTTGGTTGGTAATTGAATGTGTTGGTTTCAGGTAAGGTCTAATATTGAAAACGATGGTGGTTTTGAGAAACTGTCTAAACCTTTTGTTTTCAAATTCAAGGGATAATTCATGTAACTATTGTTTATTGGTTATAGGTGAGGCATTTTGGGTGGTTTTAGTGTTTGGTTGGTAATTGAATGTGTTGGTTTCAAGTAAGGTCCAATATTGAAAGTGATGGTGGTTTTGAGAAACTGTCTAAACCTTTTGTTTTCAAATTCAAGGGATAATTCATGTAACTTAGCCTATCTGTATGCAACAATAAGGTTACTAGGCTCATTTGCTTTAACCCGAAGCTTTAAATCTTCTTTAAGCCCACTAATGAAGCTGGAAACAAAATATTCTTCTGTTAAATGAGAATTGAACTACAACATATAATGTTTTAATTCTTTAAACTTCTCCTAATGCTCATCCACTGACCTTTTGTGGTTCAACTTATTAAATTCTCCACAACATTAGAATAAGTTCTATCACAGAACCTTAGATATAGATTACTAGTAAATTGTTGCCAAGTCACCATGTTTCGTTGCATAACATAACCATTAAACCACACTTCAACTTTTCCATTCAAATACATAACAACAATTTCAAGTTTCTGATGGTCACTAATGAAGAATATAGCAAAATATTTTTGACATTTTTAAGCCACCTTATTGGGTTGCTACCATCAAATATAGGAAGTTCTATTTTGGGTCTTAAGGCATATGCATTTCCTATAGTATTAGAGCTATTCCCAACATCGAAATCACCCCATTTATATTGTCCAGCACTATTTTCAAAGAAATAGCTCTTGTTTTCAAGTTGGTTTTTAGCTAAAATTTCAGGTTCATACTTTTGTAAGTATATTTACCTTGATCATCTATCACAATAATCTGAACAAGGGCCTTACCTTCTTTTTTGAACTGAGACAATGGAGTAAATTGATTGTTGATGGAACTTTCGGCACCTCTTGACTCAGACTAACCAGTTTTTGCTCCATGTGGTGATAATAGCTCAAGGACTTGGGTAATATACCTATGATTTTCAGCTAATTGAGATTTAAGAATACTCCTATGTTCGAGCACCAAATGAATACTCTTTTGATTTTCGACTAGCTTAGCTTCAATGTTACTTTGCTGGGCCTCCCACCATTTTGGTTCTGCTTCCATTTTTTCTTGAAGGGCTTGGACTTGTTCCTGTAACTTGGCAAGCCTGGTGCCTTCTACCATGAATTTGAATTTGTTTTGCTTACCCAGATTGGATCTAGGAAGCTCTGATACCAATCTATTATGTAATAAGCTGGTTGAAAGAAGACGAATTAGAGAAATGAAAAACCAGACCAGAATAAAGAGAAGAGAGAGTTTGAAAAAATAGAAAGAAATTGTAAATTTTCATTCATACTCCTCAATCGCGTGTACAAGGTAGTTATATTCAAAACATGTGCTAACATCATAATTCTAAAATCTGTCCAATGCAAATTAAGCACATGGTAAAAACAATTCAAAAGCCAACCAATTATTTATATTCTGTCAGCTCCCATAACCGTCTTCAGCATACTCATTTCTATTACTCCTTATTGTGTGACTGACCCGAATATTCCATCACCCTTCCATAACCAACTTCTTCCTTTATTTCAATGTTTTCAACCAACTCAACTCTTTTGTATACGTCAACCTTTTTAGCCACCTCAGCTCTACCTTGTGACTTTGACTTCACCATGTCAATATGATCATCATGCAATTTCATCACAGTTCTGTTTGGTTTTAGGGTTTTCTATGGATTTGTCTCGTTTGTGGCGCTCCCATTACTTTTAAGTCTTGCTGGACTATTAGGAGGACTCAATTTTCTTGTTACAGTTGCTTATCCTTGTTTCATGTGGGTTCTGATATAAAGGCCTCAGAAGTACAGCTTCAATTACTATTTCAATTGATCCCGGTTGGCTGGGTTTAGCCTTCAGCTAGGCCTTCTCTATTGGTGGTCGTTTTGTCTGGTGAACAATGGGCTTAAGTTGAAATTCTTCAAGCCCAATTAAGAAGATGAAACAGCTGATTGGAACTCAACTTTTCAAATCCGTATGGTCATATTGTGCTGATGTCTCAATGTCAGCAACAAAACACTTTCTATAATTCTATGGTGCATAGTTCAGATTGGATGGTCGGTTCCTCCTCAACTACCTCTGGAAATATTCCTTTTTTGGCTCCTTGGGTTGTCTTGAGTTCTCTCCATCCAGTCCTAAAACAATGAAATTAAAGTACGTGGTTCCGGGTAAGTGAAGTCTGCAATAATGGTCAGTACCTCAATTTGTGAAAATGTGCATTGGGTTTACTGATCAGCTGTCTTCTGTTTTATCAATCACATAAAAGCCGAATCTTTGGTTTTTTGTTTTTTTTTTTTTTCAAGATTTAACGGCATCACCCTTCTTAACAACAAGTACTACTTTACTAGTTACTAACTTGTGATAGAACAAGAGCCAGTAAAATCTTCAATTGATTAACTCAACTTGTTATATCTAGGATTTGATTTTGAGATCATTGCTGCAACATCGCTGCAACTATCTAAACTAACAAAGAACTTTGAAATCGTATTTCTTGAATAGGACTTGACGGCCATGATAGCATAGCAAGTTAATCCACCTATCGGTCTTGCTACAGAACTGTAGCCAGCTTAAACCTGCAAGTCACAAACTCTCTTACGTCAAAGCTGCCACCAGTACCAAGCCATCAGTGATGGCATTCCATTTCTAGTCCCATCTCAAATGTCACTGGCTCTTCTCAATGGAGCTATAATTAGTTTTTCAAAGGGTCCAAGTGACAATGAAAGGAGAGCGGTGCCCCATGGATTCATAATTGGGTTCTATTATTAACACTCTAACGTGGAATTCCTTCTCCCCATATCCTGTTAACGAGGTGTTATTGAGGGAACGTTAAAGTAGTATTATTCAACGTCTAATAAATATTTAAATATTTATAATTTTATATTTATGTTGAGTTTTTTTATTCATTATCAATTAATTTTAAATTAAATGTTTAACATGACATCAAAATTAAGATTTTTTTTAATGTTTTTTCTAAATTTTTCACATAATATATTTCTTTCATCTTTGTTTTCATGTGATAGTATCTGTTAAAATAATATTATTTCATATCTAATAAATATTTAATTTTTTATAATCTTATATTCAAGTTGAGTCTTATTTACTGTCAATTAATTTCAAATTAAATATTTAATATAATATAATCAATTGATTTTAAGTTAATTGCTTAATTATCCCACTCTAGCTGTTTGATTTGTAAAATTTTGTCAGCTTGTAAAACAAGTGCTTAAACATTTCTTGTCAAGCAAATTGATGGCAATGAAATGACTGTAATTATCATCTTGACATCATTATGAAGCAAATTGATTGTAATCAAAACACTATATTATCATGCAGGAAAACTATCATTTTGATAAGATTAATGAACCCGTCAATTACGGGCAACATGTTCAAATGCGCATGCAGACATAGTAACTAAGTTTTCATTGTCACTGTCCTCTATGCAGGGAAGCATACCTAACATAAAGAAAAGAGAGTAAGAAATCACCAATAAAGGGAACAAATTTGAAGCCATTTGCTTTAAAAATATATGGAATTGTCCTCAGTTCTGACCACCAATGGACAACCTGGAACATTCTATATCTTATGTTTTTCTGTCACGAGGTTATGGAAAGTGGGTGCATTTGGATCCTGATATGGCAAAACCTGCTGAGCATTCCCGTCAACAGACTTCAGCTTTAAACGGTATTCTTATTTTTAAAGTAAGTTGAATGAGTGGCAATGGAAATGGATGGTTCCTGAAATGACAGGTCCTAGCTTCATGCACTTCTCTTTTTGAATATATTTTTGTTATTAAACCCCGTAGTCTCTATATAGTACTGAAAAATGGATAAATGTTTTATGGTGGGGCTAACAACAATCCCCACGTAGATGATGGAAAATGATGAATCCAGCTGACAAAGTTGCTTCGTTCCCATTTCAAGAATGCACTGTGTGCACATATTCAATGCATTTCAATCTGGCTGCCACCTTAATATCCAACCTGCCACTGTCCCAAGGAAAGGCACAAAGGGAAAATCATCGTTAACATCATTGTATAGGTTAAAAATGTAGGAACTTGGCCACGAATGCAACTTAAGATAATTTAATAGGAAGATAACTACTAATGTGTATTCCGAATTGTTAACTACCGAACCAATGATCGGCTTTCTCTTCCCCATCAAGTTAAAAGAAAAAAAAAAACCTGGAAACATGGTCCATGATTCCATTCTCTTGGTGTTTTTCCGAATCCAATAGCAGTAAAACAACTGTGCTAGTCAGAGGCCATCCCATTTCTTCTCACATGCAAAGCATATTGGTTTCTTAAATCTTAAAACTCGAGTCATTTTACAGCTTACGGCGCCATGAAGCATCATCATATGATATTATTATAATTAGGGCACGTACGAGATGAGTGGCATTAGTAGAATTCAAAAATGCAGTGGGCCGACTAGGCATGGCCGCATGGTATCGTGCTAACATTTTCAGGTTTGAAATTCCTCCTTCCAAAAGAGGAAGAGTTTGTCGAGACGAATTTTGCCCAGTGAAAGCTGTCAAAGGGGAGAAGGCGATTGTTCAACTTAAAAACGTGCAATAACCAATGTAGGGACATGGAAGCAATAATAGCTTTTCCATTAAGAGCAAATATGAACAAGATGCTTCTGAAACGGTCCTTTGGTTGGTGGAGTGTCACTCAGGCAACAATCAAAATTTCAAACTAGACCAGAGCAGTGAATATTTTTTCTCTGGGTATCATTCTAAATTCCATGGCACTCCAGGTCCAGCTGCTGCCTCTTTTCTTTGTGTAAAATAGGTAATCTACAGGCTCAAAGTTTAAACCCTCTTGATTAATCTACAGGCGCAAAATTCGGTTGCTTTTATTGAGGGTGGTATAATTGGTAACGCAATGGAGGATCAAAGCTCTAACGTAGCCAAAGAGCTTTTTGAAATTTTTTGCTAGCTAGATAATCTCCTATGCTATTCGTAACCAATATCCTTGGAGTGCTTAAGTAGTGGTTGAGTAGTTGGTAACTGAAACTGCAGACATTCTTCCAAAATCGAAACTCAAATACTATACGAGTCACTCAGACTTTTCTGCTGCAGAATATTCAATGGAAATCACCCTTTCCAACCAAAGGAAAACCAAAAAAAAGAAATGCTAGTATTCGGATTTTATGCATTCAAATCAAAGACAATTCACTTTCTATAATTTAGAACTTCAGCTGCAAAAAACTGTCGTTTATCATTCATTCATTTCTTTCCCAGTGCAAAGTATTTCAAGACACCGAAGATTTACAGAGTCATCAAAAAACAAAACCCTGAGAACATGGAAACCCACTACCCAAGAAGTGACACTTTGATCAACAATCATCTTCTATTCTACTATAATCTTTTCTCTCTATACCCACCAAAAGAGGAGAAAAAAAAACTGACCAAAAAGCAAAGACAACTAGAACTTATAAATAACACCAACAACACCACTAACGGCCAGCAAACTCTCAAACGCTACCCAAAAGGCCAAAAAAAAAAAAAAACAGTAAAGATTAAAGACGAAACCTTTTTCTCAAAATGGCAAAATTCTTATCACTTCAAACCTTTCCCTGGTGCAGAAATTGCAAGACCTGGCCAACCAAAGCAATCCCCATCAACTAACCCTCCGCCACCTTCAACATCGCTTGTTGCTTGCCATGTATTACACCCAGTAGTTCCACCTATGACACCAGCAGGTGCCCCACCACCCCCGCCACTAAAACCATTAAGATAACCATTTCCAGGATATCCCCAAACCCCACCAAACCCTGAACCAGCCCCAAAGCCGTATCCACCAAGGGTCGAGTACCCTTCTCCCTGAGAGTTCAAGAATGAAGTGAAGCCTCCATTCACGGGAAGATCAACAGTTTCATTCAAATTCACGTCAGCCAAACCCAACTCAGGTTTATCTCCAGGTCCATGCATAACCGAGACAGGGTTAACAGCCATAGGCACAGAAGACTCAGCTTCATGCGTCGCGCTAGAGGAAGATGAAGTTGCAGCAGAATTAGAAGACCCAGAAGAAGATCGAGAGCGCTTGGAAGCCTTGCGAGTCCCACCACCAACGGGAACGTTACGGAGAGTACCACCTTGAGTCCAGTAACGGCGGCATGACTTGCAGAAGTAGCGAGGCTGAGAGAGGTTGTAGTTGTTGTAGTAGCAGAACTTGGTGCTGGTTGAGTCACACCTCGGACATGGAAGTGGCTCAGTCAATTTGGGTGGTGGGTGCACCCCCATGGTTCCTGGGACTCGAACCGGACGCCTGTCGCCGGAATCAGCAGGCATTTTTGTTGGTTTAAGGTGTGTGGAAAGTGATAGTTAAAAGGTTAAATTTTTAGCAGAGAAAGAAGATAAAAGAAAGAAAAGTGAAGATTTTTGAGAGAGAATGAAAGGGAAGGAGATGTTTTGGATGTTATAAAAGAGAGAAAATCTGAGGATTTTGTTAACGTTGGATTGAGGTGGGGAGGGATAAGCAAAGGCAGAGGACTTGAGAAACCGGAATAAATAATGGCTTTTTCACCGCTACTGCTACAGCACCTAAACAACTTATAAGGCTGTGGCTTACGTTTATGTACGGTGTTTATAGCCGCTCAAATCTTGGCTCGGCTTTAGTAAATCCTTCATATATTTAAAAATTAAATATTTTAAATATTCTTCTAATTAGATTAATTAATCAATTTATTAAATTTAATGGTAAATATCTTTTTTAATAACAGCGTAAATTTTGAGAAAAAAATCGAATTATACTTTTTATCAACTAATTGAATCGAATGTAATATAAGTTATAAAAATTATGTTCGCTTTTATATGTAGCAATTGTTTAAGAAAGATTTAGACAACGAAATTATTGAACTAAAAAATGCTGAAATAATTTAGGTAGTTTTTCATTTAACACAAATGGCAGAGGACCATAGCGAGGAAAAGGTGTCCTTTAATAGGATTTATTAGACTTATTAGACAGCATGGCACTGCTCAGTGCTGCTTATGTTTACGATCCTTTTGTGTTTAGTTTGCCAATGCGGATGAACCAGAATCACCATTTTTATGATTTTTTTTTTTTATATAAATTAAGGCCAACAAAGTGCAACCATTAACCAATTTGCTAATAAATTAAACATTCTGTCAATTTTCAAAATGGGGGAGAGTCGGCCTCAACAGCCGTCATAGATGGGGTGGAAAGAAAGAGAGAGAGCATGTCTTGTTCATTGCAATGTAAGAGAAGCACTAGTATAATTAAGTAATAGAAGAGGAACGATAACATAATTGATGTCGGGCAGCTTGGGAAACAATAATTGGGTTTGCCTGCTGGGTGTGCTTACGACCTCCCTTATTCAGTTTCTCTCTCTCTCTCTCTCTCTCTCTCTCTCTCTCTCTCTCTGCACTTTGCCAATTAGCCGGATTTCTCGGTTGCCGTGATCTTTGCTCCTTTGATTCTGCCTCTCTCGCCCCATATCTTTGTTTGTTAATGCATGTTCCAAAGGTTTCACCCTTTTGTATTTTGTATATTTACATAATCATTCTTTCATCGTATAGTAGTAATAACAACATTTTGTGTCTGTAACTATGCATGGTTGTCCAGACTGGCTTTGGCAAATAGGCACGGACTTACCTTGTTCTGGCCTCAGGGGACCTAACTTGGCCTGGTCTTAGCCAAGCCTGAACCTCTTTTGGGTGGCGCAGGAAGAGTCAAGAGACCGGGTTTGACTGCCGAGGACACTGCCGACAGGGGTCAAGAAGTGCTGCATACTTTGATAGTTGACCGCTGAATAATACACGTGGCCGATTGAGAATGGTGGTTACAGTTAATAGCCAAGCACGCGAGTGGCTCCAGCGTCTAGCACCGGTCAGCCGAAGAGGGAATGGTAAGCCTAATGACTTAATCCCGAGATTCTCTCACCTCTTGTCTCTATCAGTTTCTTGTTGATTATAATGTGAATTTCCCATGGCGCAGCTTTCAGAGTTCAGACCTGTTTTTGACTGCTACCTGTATGACCCTCACCAGAACCAAAGTATACACCACCGACCTTCCCCCGTCTTCAGTTTGCATTGCATTTTACCTCTTCCATATACTCCAGGTTAATCGTGGGAACATCTCTTTGGACTTTGGAGCCCTCCAAATCTAACCAAAGCGAACGAATTGAAATTGTCAAAGTAACTGAAAGCCCAATACCGTAGCCATAAGGTTTTTTAAGCTTGCAAACATGGCCTGCTTTCTTTTTACAACAACTATATTGACTTTGGTGGGGTATGCATTAATGTTTAATGAAGAGAAAGTTACATGATCATTGTAACGTAAGCCAAGTAAGGATAGAATGAAAACGAAATATTCAAGGATAAGAGTGTGTAAGACTTCCATCTGACTTCACATTGTTTTCAGTCCGCTATAAAGCCAAAACGCACACCTCAAAATTTGGTCATGGTTCCCTGTGGTTCTGGGATGGTTCGATGATCCTTCAATTTCCCCAACGCTAATCCTCTTTCAATGGCAAAACCAATCCAAACCTCTTAGTCTTTGGTTCAGGCACAAATGACAACAGATTCAGAAATGGCCATTCAGGGGAAATTATTCTAAACAACTTACTGTTAGAATTCATCTCCAAATGCAAGTATATACCACTCATAGAATGTCGAATCCACCTCAAATAATAAGAAGTAATTATTTGGCCCGGATCTGAAGGCATGCATTAGTTTTGCAAGACATGGTTAATTGCTACTTGCATAATACATTGATGATGCATCAAAGTAAACCCATTTTTTCACATAGAGATTTGATAGTCATTATAGCTCAAGTCGTAATTGTTTTACTGCAGCGACGAAGTTGTGATATGTGTAGTCCAAAACAGTTCAAAGTATTGTGCATTAAAGAGGCTTAATTAACAATCTTGAAGGATGGAAATTAAGAAAGCTGAGGGTATTCCCTCTCAATTTCTTGGTTTTAGGATTACAAACAGTGGATGCAGCTTCTGAGAGGTCAGTCCAACTGTATCAACTTTTTCCTCTTCTCCATCTTTGAGTCTCCACTCAAATTCCTGTACCAACCTACCTATTGCAGCACAAGCTAGCAACATCGCCTGAAGAGAACCTGCGCATGCCCTCTTTCCCGCTCCAAATGCCATTGTCTTGTGCAAATCCAAAGGGTCGTACTTCTCATCAAGAAACCTCTCTGGGTTCCACTCTTCAGGGTTTTCCCAATGATTCTTGTCCATGTTACAGCCATAAATGTTAAGAGCAATCTGCACAAAATATAGTCTCACTTTAGTATCTCTCCTTTAGAGGGAAAAAAAACAAGGAATTTTAGGTAAAAAAATGGAAAAACGAACCTCACTTCCGGCTGGTATATAATACCCTCCTATTTGGGTATCTTCATGTACATATCTTAAAGGAACTAGAGGAGCTGGACTGTGTTTCCTAAGGGTCTCATGGAAAACAGCATCCAAGTATCGGATTTGCGAAAAATTTTCCTCCTTAACCTTGTTAAAACCACAAACCTTTTCCATTTCATGATAGAGACGATCCTGTTAAGTTTGAGACAAGAAAAAACAGAATCTGGTCAAAAACAGAAATGGAAGGAATTTGAATAAAGAATTTAGTGATCAAAATTCAAACAACCTGCCGAGTTGAATCTTTAGCAAGCTGATACATTGCCCACTCTGTTGTGACCAAAGTAGTGTCTGCTGTTTCAATGATTGTCTCCCAGAGCAACATTGCTATTTGCTCCTTTGTAAGTGTCTTTGCTTCGGATAACAGGTAATCAAGATAACAATTCACTTCCTGTTTTTTATCCAGCCAAGTTATATTAGTTGCATCAGAGCCTAACTAATTCCAGGATAAAAGAAATCTAAAATTTTGGCAAAATAATGACTTAGCTCGCAAGAAAAGACTACCTCCCCTGAATCAATTCGCTTCATCTGCTCCTTTATCAGGGCATTCATCAATGCCATTCTTCTGAAATGCTTTTGCTGGATACTCATTTCAAAACTTTTGTTTGGAATCCATTTCAAGTACGGGAAGAAATCTCTCCAATCTACGTCAATTGCACCCTCCATCATGTCAATAACTAAAACTTTATGTATCTCTTTTCTTGACAAAGTAGTACCAAGCTCCTCCACATAAATTGATTGCACGTTCTTCCCCAAAGCCTGCAAATAACAGGGTGCTTATCTGATTATCTCAACAAGTAACAAATAAATTATCTTTTAACTCTTTAATCTCAATATCTTCCGTTAGCAGAACAGATAAAAGAAACTTACTTGCTTCATTGCCAATCCAAAAAGTTCAGACTCGAATATTTTCCTGAAGTTGATAGGTCGGAGAGGATCTTCCTTCACCAAAGCATGCAATTGGCTTGTTGTATTTTCGATCATAGTTTCTCTGTGGTTTCGGTGTCGCCTCTAAGAAAAATACGGATAGTATCAACAATGTGAAAACAGATTCAATGTGTTGAAACAACAACGGCACGCAAATACAAAAAAAGAGGATCATAGTTCATAGACCCTGATAGCAAACCTGAGCATTTGAACCCAAAGTATTTGTTAGTAAATATCGTTTCGCCATCTTGTGAAACTCGTTGTAGTCGCTTGTTGCAACCATACATTTATCAAAAGTGAGAATCTTCAGGGCGTTCGATAGCTTCCTTGTTGAAATGGATGAAAACCTGGTCACCATGGCCTGGACAGCAATCCAGAACAATCAACAACCAAGATAATATAACTTGGACCACTACTCTAACAGCATAAGGTATAAATTCCAGTGGATCAATTGCTTTTGAAGTGGTAGAACCAACTTTAGACAGGCAATTTTCATAAGCCATAAGATGTAGATGCAGTAAACAAAGAATTGTGTAAACTGGTTTTTAGTAAGCTGGAACCACTAATACACACGTAACAATGAATTGTCTTTGTTCTATCAAAGGTGCCTTAAGTCTAACTGTCTATGGGCCAGGCCAGGTTTAGTTGGGCTTTTGGGTCAAATTAACAACGAAAATTTTCTAAGGGCCAAGCCTAATTTTGGGCAAAATAGGGCCATGAGCATCAAATCTTTGGTCCATAGAGTCATGGACTTTAAACATGGACCATGGCCTTCAATATTTTCACAACCCAAATTCAAGCCTAGAAACCCACGGAACTGCCCTTCATACATTTTGATTTCTGAATGGAGAAATTATTTGTCGCCATCACTAGTGATGTGACAGTAATGATGCTGCTGTTCAAGCCAGTGGGGGAAGCCAAATAAACAGAGAAGAAAGCTAACCTCTTTGGCCGTTTCTGGAGAATTGATAACGATAACAGTAGAAGCACCGGTTCTGATAGAATAGACTGGTCCATAAATCTCTGCCCATTTTGTGAAAGTCTTGTGAGGTTTCTTCTCTTTCAGCTGCAGCAAATTTCCTATAATCGGTAACCCTGGTACCTCTGTTGCAACCCATAATAACAACTCTAAATGTCATTCCATTTCAGTTCAATCTGACGATAACTCGGACATTAATAAAGATTTGAACAGACAAAGAAAACCCCAGAAGAAAAAGATCTTCCAAACAGGAAGAAGAGAAAACAGAGGGTATATGTACCTGGGACAGTTGGGAGGCTGGTAGATCCCATCTTGCGACCTGATAGCACAATTCTTTTAAGGAAAATCAACAAGAACAAGAAGGATAAGCCAACAACAGCGACGGAGTTGACAAGGGACATAGTTTGCAAGTACTGACTGATACGTGCCATAGTGATCATTTTGACCTTATAGAATTGAGAATTTTACGAGCTTTAGGGACTTGTAATATCTACATATATAAAAAGCCCTTTACCTTTTATGTATGGACTGTAGAGTGACTCAGATGTCGACAGAAAGTAGTGTGGAGAAGGGGGTTTTGCGAGATAAAGTACTGCAGTAAGCCATTAGTGAATTAGTGTTTGAGTTGACAAGCATTACAGGCAGAAAAACACTACCACTAGCAGCGAGTGAATAAAGGTGCAAAGGGCGGTATATATAAAGTTTGCTAAAAAATACAAAGAGAAACTTGCTGTCACCTTCCTCCAATGGAAAGTCGGGACGAGACATTGAAAACGTTTTATTTCTTTTTTCTAAACCTAGCCTTGTCTGATTCTTATATGTTACCATCTATATTATATATTTGCGAAGCTGTTTCTTTCTTTATTTCTTTCATTTTAGGTCGGTTTTGTTTTGATTGTTCACTGTATAGGATAAAGTTCTACATTGCGACAAAGGATGTTTGGAAGAATTTGGCATCTCCTCCGTTGGGATCTTATATATTTAGATGCCCATATTCAGATCCTGTTGATCTTCTGAGTTTATTTTGGAACTTGTTACCGGCGACTCTAGAGCCTATCAATGAAGTATATATAATACTCATACAATAAGTATATATTAAAGTATTGGATCTAAGTAGCAGGTGGAAAGTGCGTAGGGACATACATCAGACATTACACCTAACCCATTTTGTTTTTCATTCTTGTCCTTTTTTGAAATTTTCTTTCTGCTTTCATACTACTTTATTTTTTTAATTTATTATGAATGCCCTTTTTGGGAGTATGTCTTTCTTATTTAAATTTTTTTTTGGAATTTATACCCACTACACAAAAAATGGCATTTTAAATACCAATATATTATTGTTAAAATACCTTTCATTCTGGGATAGTTGTCTTTATTTTCTTTAAGAATCTAACACAACCATTTTGTCGTAAGACAAGTTTTTATAGTAACAACTTTTTGTTGTTACTAAATAAAATGTACTTTCAGTATGATTCTAAATTTTATTTTAATAATCATAAATTTTGTTGCCAAAAGAACTTGGGTTTGGTTTAGTTCACCAACTTCAAATTTTTATTAGATTGAAGTCTGAATTTTAGGGTTTGAAAGTTCTATTTTTTTAATTTTTTTAAAGTCTTTGTCTTGTTTTTTTTTTTTTTAATAATTACAAAAAGTTTTACATAAAATATCAAGTAATTTTTTTGCAATAAAATCATATATATTTGGTTGCGACAACAATTTTTTTTGCTACATGTACAAATTTTTGACAAAATTTTTTTTGGTACACATGCATTTTTTTTTTTGTTATTGTAATAGGTTATGTTTAAAAGAAACTGTAATAATTGTAAAAGTTCTTACACAACATTATTCCTGTTGTTGAAAAATATTTTTATATTTTTACAACATTTTATTAATTTTAACAATAATTATTGCTGTAAAAAAAAAAAAAAAAAACCCTTTGCACAGTGACATAAATGCAATGTAAATTTATTTTAAAATAACATAATTTTAATATTTTAATATTTATAGTATTCAATTATAATTCTAATATTGTAATTGAATGCAATTAAAAAATAAATTTATTTAAAACAATATCATCAATTACAATTAAATTTTCTTTTAAAAATCAATAATATTACAATCTCATAAATCATTAAAAAAATAAATTTATTATTATTTAAGAACTTAAAAAGTTAAATATAAAAATTCTCAATAAATTTTTCATGCGCACGCACATTTATAGAGATCTACTTACACAGTTATACTAGTATAATTCTTATATTTTTTTTAAGCTTTTGGATTAATATTATTAAATTTAAAAATATGATTTTGATTAAAATGAATCATGAGTTTAATTTTAATTTAAAGGTAAAAAAATATAAAAGCTACATTAACGTAAGTAAATCTCTACTTATATATATATGAATGAATTATTTACAAGTTTATAAAGAAATATCCAAACTTATTATAGATATTTTACTTGTTGGTAAATATTCTTATAAGATATGGCATGTAAAATTAACTACTGATGTTTCATATGGTGTATCTAAATTGGTTTGCCGTGCATGCATGAATAAGAATATGAGTATGATAACTGATGAGAAAATCATTGGTAGTAAAAAAAGAAAAAAAATCAATAATTTGTTTCATTCACTTTGGTTGTTCTTTATAGAATTTTTAATGTATTTTACTTGTATATTAAAACGTTTATTTTATTAAGGTAAAACGTTCTATGTATAACTTCAAATTTTCAAAATAAAACAAATGAACGTAAAAAAAAAAATCATTTCATCGAGTAAAATATTGATGAGACAATGTAATTGGCATCATAACTTTTCCTCTGAATTTTTAGATTTTCAGATAGGCATTTTGCCGATGGGAATTGCATTGGAGATCATACATACATTTTCTTTCTGGAATGAAAATGAAAAGCTACAAACTAACATAAGCGTGTTTAGGTTGTAAGATTGTAAAACTATTGAAAAGGGTTAAAATGTAAAAGGAAGAAGCTGAAGTTGCACCAATTAGTATCCTGGGAACATTGGTGGAGGCGGTGATGAGTATTGGAAGCCGAGATTTGGTGGCAGATTGAATTCTCGGTTTCCCGGTGGTTCCGAGAAAACAGAAGCAGGGGCAGGAGCTGGAGAAAGAGGGGAGGAAGTTGGAGATGGAGAGTGGTCTGTTGGTGGGGGAGAATACACTGGTGGCGGTGGTGAAAGAACTGCTGGTGGTGGAGAGTGAACTGGAGGTGGCGGAGAACTTACTGGTGGTGGAGGAGAGTGTACAGGTGGTGGTGGTGGTGAGTAAACTGGAGGTGGCGGAGAACCAATTGGTGGTGGTGGTGAGTAAACTGGAGGTGGAGGAGAACTAATTGATGATGGTGGAGAATGGACTGGTGGAGGTGAAGAGTGTACAGGTGGTAGTGGTGAGTGTACTGGGGGTAGTGGAGAATTTACTGCTGGTGGTGGTGGAGAATAGACGGGTGGCGGTGGTGAATGGACGAGATGTGATGACAACTGTACGTGTGGAGGTGGAGATCGGTACCTAGTAAAGGGTGATATTCCGTGGGGATCTTCTAGTGGTGGTGGTGGTGGTGAGTAAACTGGAGGTGGAGGAGAACTAATTGGTGGTGGTGGAGAATGGACTGGTAGAGGTGGGGAGTGTACAGGTGGTGGTGGTGAGCGTACTGGAGGTGGTGGAGAATAGACGGGTGGCGGTGGTGAATGGATGAGAGGTGATGACAATTGTACAGGAGGAGGTGGAGATTGGTACCTCCTAATGGGTGAGTGTCCGTGGGGATCTTCTAGCGGTGCTGGGGCCAGAGTCTTTGGTGGTGTTGGAGACTGAAAAACTGGTGGCGGCAATTGTTGTGGTGGAGACCGCTGCCTTTTTACAAGTGATCCGTTACGGGGGTTATCTATAGGTGATGCTATTTTTGGAGTGTTAGGAACAAGGGTTGGACTTGGTTTTGGTGTAGGAGGTTGCAATGTTGGTGTTGGTTCTGGTTTTGGCTCTGGAGATGGTTTTGGTTCAGGGGATTGTTCTTTTGGTGGTTGTGGTTTTGGTGTCGATTCTGTTTTGGGTGACTGCTGCTTCGGAGATGGTTTTGGTTCAGGTGGTTGTTCTTTTGGTGGTTGTGGCTTTGACGTTGGTTCTGTTTTCGGCGGTTGCGGCTTTAGTGATGGTTTTGGTCCAGGCGATTGTTCTTTCGGTGGTTGTGCCTTTGGTGTGTGTTCTATTTTCGGCAGCTGCGGCTTTGGTGATGGTTTTGGTTGGGGAGATTGTTCTTTTGGTGGCCGTGCCTGTGGTTTTGGCTCTATTTTGGGCGGTTGTGGCTTTGATTGTTCTTTTGGGGGTTCTGGTTTTGGTGTTGCTTTTGGTGATGGAGGCGACGTCTTCTTAGCAGGAGAACTTGGACGACGTGGTGATGATCCACCGCCACCGCCACCACCACATTTTGACTTACTGCATTCAACTGGTCGGCTTACCACTGGATGACATTCTTTGGCTGACTTCTGCTTTGGCCTATCTGGCAAGCAGTTGCTAATATCGTCGAACACAATGTCTCTCCCCTTTGATGGCTCGCATGATTTAGCCTCTCCATTGAAATAGTTGTATGAAAATGTGAAGTTGTTCAAGCTTGGCAAGCGGCATATGTCGTCCGAGACAAAACCTGTCAGCATGTTATGTGCAACATCAAAGTGTTCTACTTTTCCAAGCCCTTTAAATGTCTTTGGCAACACTCCGCTGAAAGAATTCGAAGCAATGTCCAAAACTGTTACATTTCCGAGCCTTCCAATCTCAATTGGCAAGCATCCAGAGAGGTTGTTGTTCTGGAAAATAATCTCGTTCAAGGTATTGTACATCTTGCCAATGCTGTTTGGAATACAACCTGAGAGCTTGTTGTTGGCAACCACAACGACTGTGGCTGGAGAGTACCCCAAAGTTTCAGGAATGCTAGATACAAACCGATTGTTGTTCAAGAACAATGCATCCAACTCCATTTCAAACAGCTCAGATGGCAATTCGCCTTCAAAATTATTGTACCTTAAATCAAGGTACTTAAGCGAGGGTAATGATATTACAACATCTGGGAAAGGACCAACAAATCGATTGTTACTAACATCCAATTCATGGAGAAGCCTAAGCTTTGAGAAACTCTTGGGAATGATCCCACAAAATCTATTAGAGTTTAGGTGAAATAGAGCCATATCAGTCAATAGGCCCAACTCAACAGGCAGATATCCGGCAATGTCAGCATGATTAAGATCAATGCCAGCAACAACCATCAACTTTGGATCGTCAAGTGCCGGTGCGCAGAAAACTCCATTGTAATCGCAAACATTCGGACCTTCCCAATTTTGAGTGGTTTTAAGGGGGTCTGAATGTACGGCATGTTTCCACGCTTGAAGTGCAATGTATGCACGCCGAAGCCTGAGATTCTCAAACGAGAGATTAAGCTTCACATTAAATTCATAATCATCAGTCAATTCACCGTTCTCAGGAAGAGCTAAGAGTTGTCGATGAGCAATGAACGCAATTTCAGAATCAGACAGAGCATAAGAGAAAGATGATAATAAGAGAGAACAGAGGAGAAGCGCTAGGAAGCAGACAGATGCCTGCTGCATGGATGGTAGCGTGTTCATGCCCGTCATACCTTGGAGCGACCCAAGGTTGCTCATACGAATTGCATTAGAAAAGTGAAGAACGAGGATGCTTTATTGAAAGAAACAACCAGACGTGTGGAAAGGCATTTGAGAGGCTCCGCAAAAATCTCTTTTTGGTTTTTCTTGATCACCACAAGTTTCGTTTTGATGTTCTAACTTTGCTAGCTTCCAAACATATCTGTCATTTTTCAAGGTAATTTGGGAATGGTAATGTCATAAACGGTGACTTTTGCCTAAATTTGATTCATGAGGATTATTAAAAGAAAAATACTGGAGCCATCAAATATCAAGTCTGTCTGGCGGGTATATGCACTTTCTGTTTCCCTAAAATAAACATTTTCCTACATATAAGTAGAATACAATTGTGGGCAATTGAATTGAATTGGGCCAGGTCCAGGACAGACAGGTGCTGCTTAAGGCATTGAGTAATAGATTGGGCTTGGCTCGGTTTTTCTCATAGAACCACACCCAAGTCAAGCCCAAAGAACTTCACATCATCTAATCAAGTAATGATTCAAAATGTAGAACAAATATGGTGTGCAATCTTCAATCTCACTACTATCAAAGCAAACGACCATGTTTTATAGTATATTGTTTGCTAAAGACGAGAGAAGTTATTTACCTTCAAGCCATCTGTGGTGTAAGGATATAGGAATTTTCAGTTTTGGAAACCAAGGGTACATGTTATTTTTCTTTTGTTACGTGAAATTTCATTTTATCTTTTGTTTCGGACTACTCGGAAATTTATGAGCAGTTGCATATTTTGTACATTTTTTTTCTTTTTCCTGTCTGTTTCCATTCCAAGTTGTTTTGTCTGAACCCTGGAAGGAAATTTGTTTTGCCTTCTAGGTGTCAATGTTATTTTGGAGGACTCAGATTTGGAGTATTTTTAAACAATTGAATTGACCACTATCCAACTCAACATGTCCAAAATTTTATTGAATGTATCAGAGAAGAATCAGATGATTCTTATAATAAACTCTAGAAGTTAAAGTGGGTTCTATATATCTATGAGAAATTTGTCTTTTTCCTTGTCTTTCTTCCATTATTTATTTGAATCTCGATGCTGTCTATTTCACAACAGCTTTCATTTATATCATACCTTTCTCGAGCGACATTCAGGAGGGAAATTTTATTAAACTGAAGCGAGCAATAGGTGATCTTAGGGATTTAGATTATTGTGCCATAAAGTCTGGCTTTTTCTGTGATCATTTTCTTAAAAGGCCATTGAAGCTGGTAAGATCATGATTTGGAAACCAAAATCTTCTCTCTAATCACCAAAGATAGCAATATTATTGCTGTAAAGAAAGATATAGAAAAGACATAACCTACCAACATTTGCATGGTTGTCTCATCTCGAGAATTAAAGAGAGAAAATTTTAATCCCCACTGGCTTGGATATTGATGAACTTTATGGAAAAGATAAAAACTTGAATGCAATTGACATCATATAGGAAAAGTGATTCAACTAAAATTTAAAAAAAAAAAAAAAAAAAAAAAGCACGAAAAGCAAACTTCATCACTTCAAAAAGGACTTCCGGCCCCTTACTAATCACTTACAAATTTTGGTCATAATTAATCTCTACCTACCATTGAGAAAAAAGTGTTGTTTTTCTGCTCTTAAACCCTACTGATCGACAATGACCTTAATGATCACAAGCATGCATGCATGCCAAGTGAAGTGAGAAACAGCATGCAACACACCCAGCATCGAAGTTCGTGTTGTGTTAAACAAATTAAAACAGGTTTGAAGAAGCTTGGAACATGCTAGTACATGCCACAGAAACCTCAGTTACCGCTTATGACATTGTTGGTGAAAGAAAAAAAAGGTTGAGCATGTCAAATACTACCACTGTTATCAACCAGCTATTTCATTTTTAAATTAATTAAGATTGTTGATGAAGCAAATTCACACTCGTTTTTATAATGTTTATGATTTAAGTGATTTAATTTTCAACCATGCGTGTCCCTTTCTGGCAAATCATCAGATTCAAAGATCTGGAGATTATACTAATGTCTGGATTAAATTAATTTGTAGTTTAGGGTTTATTAGCTGATCAGTAGTTCTGTCGATTTCTTCTTTTTAGCTTCTTAATTTTTTCTGGTTGGGCAGTTTCTGTTGGTTTTTCTTCATCTGTCCGCTAAGTTGTTGGCTTCTTTCTTTGATCGTTTTGTTTTCTTGTCTGTATTCCTTTTGCTTCTACTTTAATTAGGCCACTCTCAAGAAGCCTATCCAAATAATTTTCAGAAAGCTTCCATTGTCACTTGTCAGACAAATCCAAGTTTATATTACTTAACACTGAAAATTTAAAACGAGAATCGCCCAAATTTTCTTTTCAGCTGTTAAAATATAAACCCGACATGTCTAAAGACAACTTGAAAGAAAAATCATATGAATCTTTTTGAAATTCACTTCAAGGTCGTACCGTTAACTTCATTTTCTTTTATTTAAAATTTTTTTTAAAAAATTATATTTCATATTCCTGATAATTTTAGATTATTATTTGATTCTAAATTTTGTTGTCTCAGTTTCATACACGAAAACGAAATATATGTGTTTTTAATCCTGATTACAAGACAAAAGTATCGAAGGTTTACATGATGTAAACAAAAAAAAAGATGTGTAACACAAGAAAAAAGGGTGCTATAAACAGAAGAATCTGATTTTGGGAACGATGAAAAAGAACATTAAAGCCAAACAAAACCCAATGTTAAATGTCTTGTTGGAGACACAGTAATTGATTAACATTCAATTAGGGTATCTAATTACTAGTTTTTTTCTGACAACCTTGAAATAGAAGGATGGTTGAAAATTCGAGGTCATTAAAAAGATAACCCTTGACAACGAGGAAAAGTAAAAGCAATTATTTTAATATCGAGTTTCAAAATTTTGATACTATGGCAGCTAAATATAACACTTAGTATTTTTGTAGTTGAAAAGAATTTGATTGGAGTCAAGTATTTTAAGTTGGGATCATTTGAAATCCGATAAAAAAAAAAAAAAAAACTTAGGATTTTACTACTGCATTTTTTAAAAGCACTCTTCAAAATCATCATATAATTTATTTTTTTAATACATTAAGATCAGTTAAATTAACTATCATTTTTATATTTAACACTAAAAATGGTACAAAAAAGTTATAATAAAAATATAAATCTATGTATTCAAATAATATTAAAATAAAATCTTGATTTAGTAACAATAACCGCCCTCTTAGTTTGAAGTTTCTCTTTTGAAAGTTTCAATCTTATTGACTATGATAACAATGACAACTATAATAGAAAATTTAATGTTTTTATAATCGTATATGAATTTTATTTAAATTTATATTAAATTTATTTAATTATATTTTAATTTGTTAGATTATTTGTTTGCTTAATTATTTAGTGATTATATTTGATTATAATTATAATTTATATTTTATAATTTTAAAAAATAACATGCGATATATTAAAATAAATTAAGGAAATGATTACATTAACAACAACAGGGAAACGTGCAATTTATGTGTCTCGAACATAACCATTGGTCAACGGCAGAGGTTGTTTAGGGTTCCACGTGGTTTGAACTCTAATTGTTCTTTAAATAAAATTGACTACGTCCAATTTTTGGTCAATGTATGGGATTCTTGAAAAATAAAATTCAATATTATACATTTTCGAAAACCTGAAGTCAAGAAAGTCCAAACCATACTCTCCCTGTTTTCTAATATTCCTCCAAAACTCGTTGGAATCCTAAGTGATAAAATTACCATTCAACTCAAAATGTCATTCCTACCCTTTTCTTAATTTCAAGATTTTTTTTTTTTCAAAATCATTAATATTTGAACTTTCACAACTTATCAAATTATCAATGCATCACACAACTGTCACCATTGAATTGTTTTTGGCTGAAGAAAAATGCTAAGCAATATTAGTTATTTAGTTTTATTTTTGGATTCTTTTTTTCCTTGGATAGAAGAAAGATGGGGAAAAAAAGGCATTGTTAGGTGATGATAATCAGTTGGAATGGAACAGGGAGCTTGCTTGAGGATGGCCATTATTAATGTTTGATAGAACTGAGCATTATTTTTTTTATTATTAGAATTATGCTTTTCACGAGATTCAAGTTAAAAGGCATATAAACATTAAGGTAAAGTTTGAAGTATAGTGGGGTATAAGATTCAATCTAAATCATGTTTCCCTTTAAAAAAAATTATGTTTTGGATTGAATAATTTTCATTGTTGCATAGATGGGGTACATTACATATCACATCCAAACTTATGATTCTTCAATAATCTAATTACTTCCTGGAAGGTTGCATGCATGTATGGCATCTTTTCGCCTTATACACCCTAGCGATTTCCCATGTCGGACAAAAAAATTTAAAACCAAGAGTTGGAATCAGAATAAAAATTACTATTTATTGGATAACACAAAATTGGTACAGTGAAGAGAAGGTGAACCGTGCAAGGAGTTTGGTGTCATAGTGAAGAAGAGACAGAGCTGGTTGATGGGGAGGGGCAAAACGGTACACTCAAAAGGTGAGGTGTAATAATGGCGGGCGAAGGAGAACGGCATCAGCATTCAATGCATGCATGTTTGTATTAACTGCCTGTCGTTAATAAGGGAATTGATTGGTCTCTAAGGATTGGCCCTTTTTTCTTTTTCTTTTTTTTTTTTGGCTCTTTGGCTACTGCTCCTACAACCTCAGCGAGAAAACAGAACCCAAAAAAAAAAAAAGAGTAAGCGGTTGGTGAGGGAGCACTGATAGTAGGCCAGCAGTTGTTGAGAGAGTTTTCTTTGTTTCTCTTCATTGTGTTCCTCTTTTGTGTGCTCTTGTACTTCCCTCTTCGTCACCTATCATTTCTTGTTCCTCCTTGGGGGATTTCAAATTGGGGTTTTTTTTTTTTTTTTTTCTTCCTCTTTTTAAAGACTTTCAAGAGCCGGTTTTGGCTTTTGCTTTGAATCTGGGTTTCGCATCTTTGGTGGGGTTAAGACTTGGGTTGTTGTTGAATTTTGAATTGGAACCCTCAAATTATGGGGCTTTGAAGGATGATATATTAAAAGCTAATTCTTCTTTGATCAAGCCAAAGCTTTTTTATTCTAATCAGATAGAGACTTTGTTTTCCTTTTTATTCCTTTTCTCTTCTTTATGACCATTTGTTTTTTGATCTTATAAAAGTTCTGAGTCTTAGTTCAACAATCTTTGTGTCTGTTATTTTGAATGTTTTAGGCAATAAAGTAAAAGCTAAAGCTTGATTCTGAAACAAAACATAAGCCCCTTTTGCTTTCCGCCCCGGTTTGAAACTTGTTCTGCTTTTATTGAAGGCTTCTTTTAATTAAACGAGGAAAAAGTTTGGTTCTTGGTTGAGCTTGGCCAGGGTCTGGTTTCTGCATATTAGTAAGATTTGATACTAAGTGAGTGAAGAGAGCCAGCCATTCATGCATTTTTCACTATGGAGACCATTATCCCACTGTGCAGCTTTAATAGGGGACAAGAAAACCCAAAGGAGAAATGGTTCTGGTTTGAAAGAGGACGTGAAGAGAAAGCCTTCTGTGCTCCGCCAATTGCAAGAAACCAAACTCAGAGAAGCTCTTGAAGAAGCATCTGAAGATGGGTCTCTTGCTAAATCCCAAGATATTGATTCTGCATCTTTGAATCAAGAAGGAAACATTGGACGATCAAGGTCACTGGCCAGACTCCGTGCCCAAAATGAATTCTTGAATGCCACCTGCCTTGTTGCGGACCGGACTTTTAGCTCTGAAGACTCCATTCCAGACCTCCATGATGCCTTTTCTAAGTTCCTCACAGTGTACCCCAAGTTTCAAGCAACGGAGAAGATTGACCATCTGAGAGTGGAGGAGTATGGGCATTTATCTGAATCTTCTGCTAAGGTATGTCTTGATTACTGCGGTTTTGGGCTATTCTCTTATAATCAAACTCAAGAGTATTGGGATACATCAACATTTACTTTGTCTGAAATAACTGCAAACTTGAGCAATCATGCTCTTTATGGAGGTGCCGAGAGTGGCACTGTAGAACATGATATAAAGTCTAGGATCTTGGATCATTTAAACATCCCTGCAAATGAGTATGGCCTTGTTTTAACTGTTAGTAGAGGCTCGGCATTTAAATTGCTCGCTGAAGCTTACCCTTTCCAAACGAATAAAAAACTGTTGACTATGTTTGATCATGAGAGTCAGTCCGTGATTTGGATGTCTCAGTGTGCTAAAGAGAAAGGTGCTAAGGTTTACAATGCTTGGTTTAAATGGCCCTCCCTGAAACTTTGCTCTAGAGAACTGAGAAAGCAAATTTCAAACAAGAAAAGGAGGAAGAAAGGTCATGCAAATGGTCTTTTTGTGTTTCCTGGTCAGTCTAGAGTGACTGGGGCAAAGTATTCTTACCAGTGGATGGCCCTTGCCCAACAAAACAATTGGCATGTATTACTTGACGCTGGGTCATTAGGTCCCAAGGATATGGATTCGCTTGGCTTGTCCTTATTTAGGCCAGAATTTATTATTACATCATTTTATAGGTTGTTTGGATATGATCCAACTGGTTTTGGATGCCTTCTGATCAAGAAATCTGTGATGGCAAGCTTGCAAAATCAATCTGGGCATACCGGGTCTGGAATGGTGAAGATCATCCCTATTTATCCGCAGTACCTGAGTGACTCTATAGATGGGCTTGATGTTTTAGCTGGACTTGAAGATGAAACTGCTAAACACAATGAAGAATCATTGCCCGAGAGAAATGGTGGATCACTGATGCCTGCCTTTTCTGGTGTTTTCACTTCCAATCAGGTCAGGAATGTTTTTGAGACTGAGATGGATCATGATAATAGTTCAGATAGGGATGGAGCAAGCACCATTTTTGAGGAAGCGGAGAACCTTTCAGTTGGTGATCTCATGAAAAGTCCAATTTTCAGTGAGGATGAATCATCGGACAATTCATGCTGGATTGATCTGGGTCAGAGTCCATTTGGGTCTGATAATTCTGGCCAACTGACCCGACGGAAAACAGACTCAACCTTACCACCATCATGGTTTTCAGGGAAGACAAACAATAAGCGGCTGTCTCCAAAACTGACTTCAAAAATACCTATGAGTCCAATTTATGATGACGGGAAAATAAACATGAGATTGCATGAAGATCCTGTGTTGTCTTTTGATGCAGCTGTGTTGTCGGTGTCACATGAGTCAGACCAATTTAAGGAGATCCCTGAAGAACAGCCTGCTGACACGGACCCTGCTTCAGGAGATGATGGAAAGTATAAAGATTCCCAGTACTTTGGGGAGATTCAAGAAGAATCCGGTGTCAGAGATGAGTCAGAGCTGGCTAATTCTATGTTGAGTTCGAAGGCAAATGGATTAAAACTGAAGAATGGTGTGCTTGAGAGCACCATGGAATCCGAAATCTACCAAGAAAAGAAAGAAAGTGCTATAAGGAGAGAGACCGAGGGTGAGTTTAGATTGTTGGGAAGGAGAGAAGGGAGTAGGTTTGCCAATGGTAGATTTTTTGGTTTGGAAGAGGAAGATCGAGCGGCAAGCATGGGTCGCAAAGTATCTTTTAGCATGGAAGACAGCTGCAATGAAAACCCAAGCTGCTTGGAGCCTGGAGAAATATCATTGACTACCTTGGCTGATGATGAATTTGGTACTGATGAAGATTATGATGATGAACAAGAGTGCACAAGAAAGGAACCTGTGATAATTTGCCGGCATCTTGATCATGTGAATATGTTGGGTCTAAACAAAACTACACTTAGACTGCGTTACCTGATCAATTGGCTTGTTACCTCGTTGCTTCAACTTCGGCTACCTAGTTCTGATGAAAGTAGGGGAGGGCATCTTGTGCAAATATATGGTCCAAAGATCAAATATGAAAAAGGTGCAGCTGTAGCCTTTAATGTGCGGGACAGCAAGGGAGGAAGACTAATTGACCCGGAAGTTGTTCAGCAGCTAGCTGAGAAGAGTGGTATTTCTCTTGGCATTGGTATACTCAGTCATATACAAGTTGTGGACAATGTGAAGCAGCAGTGTGGAGAACTAGAGCTTGAAGATTCAGCCCTGTGCCAGCCAATGGCTAATGGTTGCCAAGATGCCAAAAACTTTTTTTTTCGAGTAAAAGTAATTACAGCATCACTTGGTTTCCTGACCAACTTTGAAGATGTTTATAAGACATGGGCTTTTGTGGCCAAGTTTCTTAATCCATCATTTGTTGAAGCGAATGATTTATCCACGATATCTGAAGGTTCAGAAACATAGGTCTGTGAGGCTTGTATGGAGGTTATATGCGATAAATTGATTGGAGATGCTGACGCCAAATGGAAAGGATGCAAAGGTATGGTACTGGGTGTCTTTTTTCTTTTTCTCTTCCCTTGGAGCAATTCCTTGTGAGAAGAAGGATTTTTTTCTTCGTTCTTGTCGAAAATATCTTTCTGGTGTATTAATCATGCTTTAGCATCATGTAGAGTTTGGTTTAAAATGGGATGTCAGCTTCAGAGTTAAGTATTTTGTAATGCAAAATTGAATTGAAAAGGTTTTGAAGACAAAAGAGAGCTTCCACTATTTGCAAATATAGTTGGTGGTGAAGTACAAATTTTGTGCATATCCTTTGTTTTCTCCCTTTTTCTGTCCCGTCTGATCATATAGCAGGTCAATAATCATCTCCACATCGAACTGCTAATATGAAATCTTGTCTAACGTGTTTCTTTATTTGAATTAAACTTGTCCATTTTCATCATCCGAGTTTTGCAGCAACAATGAAAAGGACCATTTTTGAAGCAGAAATGAAAGTGGGGGCGCTAGCCGGAGTTGTGCTACATGAGATTTCATTCACTCCTACTCATTTAATTTAATTTCTGTCCCCTCTGATCATATATCAGGTCAATAATCATCTCCACATCGAACTGCTAATATGAAATCTTGTCTAAAAGGACCATTTTTGAAGCAGAAATGAAAGTGGGGGCGCTAGCTGGAGTTGTGCTACATGAGATTTCATTCACTCCTACTCATTTAGATTCTCCTGATAGATAACAGCACAAAAAACAAGTTTTTGGGTGCAAATGGATTGGGATACTTTTAGTTAAACAAGTGGTTAGCAAGGGATTTCTTCTCTGACCCTATTTTTGTCTGATCATGTCAGGCAGGTGGGTTTTGACTTGTCCATACCATTACATGGATAAACCTCATTTAGATTGATGACCACTCAAGTCTCAATAGCATTTTTCCCAATCCTTGTTTTTACTCTGCTGCTATTTTGCCCCTGTTAATGCTGAGTTCAATGATGCATATATAGGTATGAAATTTGATGGATCCTTTTTCCCCAAAGCTCAAGTCGCTATCTCATGCGTGAAATGTGACATTTGAGACAAAAGAAAAAGGATTGCCTTGGCTTGGGCCTGGAGAGTTTGCATCATCTGTTTCTTGTTGTGTCATTGAACCTACAATCTAGCTTATTTATTTATTTTCCATCAAATAAGCATTCTTGGAATAATCTAAATTCATGGCACGGTCCAAATATGATCTAATTTCAATTTTTTAATAATAATTTTGTATTATTGATTGGTCCACAACAATTAAAAAACTGCAATATGACACATGGAGTTTTAAAAATCTAGTAGTACAGTTATAGGGTCACACACATATTTTTAAACATTTAAAAAATTAATAAAATAAAAAATTTTATTTAATTGCTTGTGAAATTTAAAATTTTATAGATCTTTTTATACGAAATAATACTATAATAACATAGACATTCTTGTGGATTTATGCCCAATAAGCATTTCTTGATATGAGCCCAATAAGGGGTTGAGATTAGGGCCTTTAAACCTCAATCTCAGTGGGCCCTAATGGACCCATGGTAAATGGTAAAAATGCTGCCAGTAAGAAACGTTTCACCTAGTTTTTTAATCACCCAAGGCGGTGCACTTATCTGACATGGCAGTATGGCAGGTTTCAGTTAACCCCGGCTAAAGTATCCACTGTCAGCAGATTTCACACGCGCTCATATTACCTTGAGGGCCACCCTCCAAAATCAACGATTCAAAGAGACACGTGTCATAAACTGCCTCTAGATCGACTCAGATCACAACTCGAACAACAGGGACAAAACTGGAATTTCGAAAAACAACCCACTCTCTTCCACTCTTAAAGGTTAAAACATGGTCCGAAGTTAGTATCCGGATTCCGCTACAATTGAACTCATAATTCTTTTAGGTGAATTTAAATATTAATTTTATTAAAATTTATTTAGTATATAAATTTTTTATTAAAATATTTTTTAAATTTTAATTATAATAAATTTTTTAATATTTAATTATAATAATTTTATTATAACTTTTAATTTCATAAAAAGTAAATTTCATTTAAATGAACAATAAAATTAATTATGATAAAATTAAAAATAATAATAGTTATTATTATAATTATAATTAAAAAATTTATTATAATTATGATTAAAAAATCTTAATAAAAAATTTATATTAAATAAATTTTATTAAAATTAATATTTAAATTCAATTAATTAATGATATCATGAGTTCAGTTACATTATACCAAAAATACGATAAAATCTAAATGGATACCCAATCTCACCGCCCACCAAACAGAGCCTTAATCTTCTAACCAACGTTGTCGAAAAAAAAAAAAGGTCGCTTTTTTTTCTTTCTCTTTCCAGTTTTCTTCAATTTGCTCTTTTTAATTCCCGGCAAAGTTTTTATTTTTAACTTCTTTTTTACTCGTATAATTCTTTATTGATGTAATGGGAAAAAGAGCTTGAAGAAAAGTGTCAAAAAGCCAAATCAAAGCCAATAGCGATGTTGAAATCGAAACGATCCCATTTTCTCAACGTCTTCTCCTCTACTTCAAGTGCCAACCGCCTGGTATTTCACCTTTTTTTTTATATATATCTCTTTCCTATAATTTTCAGCTTCAAAAATTAGGGTTTAGTGAAAATGTTTTTATGAATTTGGTTTTAGGCTAACTAATTTTATTTACTTGGAATGGTGATTATTTAACAGAAAATTCCAGTGGGATTTAAGACGAATTTGGAGGGAAGAATTTCTGGGTCAGTTTTGTTAAAAGGACCCAGTGGGTATGGTTGGGTAGTTGAATTAGTTCAAAAAAATGATGACTTGTTCTTTGATGAAGGGTGGGCCGATTTTGTAAGAGATCATAGCCTAGAATGTGGGGATTTTTTGGTTTTTAGATATGACGGTGACTTGGTTTTCAATGTGAAAGTGTTTGATCAAAGCCTTTGCGAGAAAGAAGTTGCTTTCCATTGTAAATGCAGTCAAGGTGGTAGTGAATTTGATGGTATTGTGGGGCAGAAGAGAGATAGGGAGGATGGAGGTGTTTCATTGGATCAAGATTGTGAAGGGGTGTTAAAGAGAAGTAGAGGGAGCTCTTCCGAATCTGATGATAATGAATATTTTGGGCATGAGCCGATGCTTGCAACTAAAACATGTGAGGGATTAACTTCCTGTGATGAAAACCATGGTAAGGAAATGAAACTCTCTCATTCTTTGGGATTTGTATATGAATATGGTTTTCCCATTGAATTGGCTGTGTTCTATGTTATAAAAATTTTGCTGTTTTTCTTCAAGTCATTCTTCTAGAAAGGAATGGCCACGACAGCAAGTCAGCAACAAAAACATCTTAACTTTGCGTAGCATTCCGCTTTTTCTTATTGAATTTGCTTCTCATAGAAATGCAATGCTGGAAAGTTCATACCCATCTAATTGTGCACGTATTTATGCTAACATGTGTGGAGAGTCATTTCAATTCTTGTTGCAACTTCACTGATGGTTTACATCACATGAATTCCTTTTGATAAAGACTTCCATCTCTTGAAACAGAGGGAAGCATCCTGAAAACAACTGTTGAAGATGATGATTTGAATCTGCATGGCAGTGGCTGTATTCCGATGGTAGGAGAGTTTGAAGAGAAAAAAGTGGCTCAATCTTTTAATTCACACTTTCCCTTTTTTGTAAGAATTATGAAAAGATTCAACGTCAGTGGCTCATATACATTGGTAAGCTGTTTTCTTCCCACTTTTTTCGCCCCTGTTTTTTGTCTAGGAAATTGTTTTCACAAGCCTACATCTTGTGCATCAGATAATTTTCTTTGCATCATGCTGTTATATGTATGTCAGAATACAGCAAAAGTGTAGAGTGTTAAATCACACTGCACTTTAAAAACTTTTCTTAATATTGATCCTTTGGCAATTGGAGCTGTGAAACGAGTTCTCAACCCATTGATCATCATGCATTTACCTCTCTGGCACAAGTTGGCAACAAGTTCCTCCTACTTATAAGGGGGAACAAGGAGAAGAAATTAATGACTTACATGTTATATTTATTCCAAATTCAAGGGCTAGACAGCCTTTTTAATAATTACCATTGTGCTTGTATATGGAAATTCTTGTAGCCATTACCTGGTGTCTCGAATCAACCAGTTACTCTATCAGTTTATCTTATTTATACACCTTGAAACTTGCTTATGTATTTACTGCCTTTTAATTTTTTGTGACCCAGAATATTCCATATCAGTTTGCAATGGAACATCTACCAAAGTGCAAGACTGAGATTGTACTTCGGAATCTGAAAGGAGCTTGCTGGACTGTAAATTCTGTGCCAACAACAAGAGTGCATACAAGTCATACTTTATGTGGTGGATGGTTGGGCTTTGTCCGTAGTAATGAGATCAAGGTTGGAGACATTTGTATTTTTGAATTTGTGCGCAAATTTGAATTGTGCGTGCATATTCTTCGGGTTGGAAAGGAAGACCCGGATAGGCAAAGGGGAAAAGCAGTTCCTAATGTGCTAATTGACAGGTCTGATGCCACTATATCGAAGAAATTTGTAAAAAACTCTTCTAAGGTCCACTCAGAACCAAAAAAAGTTCAAATGTGCGATAACAAAGGGTCTAAGATGCTTGACAAATGGAAATATGCTGCCAGTTTTGCGCTTTGCTCTTTGTCAAGATCAGGCAATGATAAGCAAGGTAAAGTTTCTAATTGTTCTATATTTGGTTTTTACTCAAGATTATTCTTATTAATAGAGGGATAGTTATTCTATACTTGCCATGAGTGTTCTTTATATCTCTTTGACAGAAAAGTTTAGTGTTCCCCTAAGCTTCCTGGTAGATTATTTGTGTTTATAGGACCATGGCTAACAGCCACTCTTTTATATTTTCCCAATCCTTGGCATATTTGTAGAATATTGATTCACTGGACTGATTGGTAGACCGCATTGTAACTTGATTTGGCTTGTAAAGCAGAAGCAGCTATTGGTGGTTTGAGAATGATGTTGGCACTTGATGAAGAAAAAGCAGCTAGGTCTTTTGCTTCTGGTTTTCCCAATTTTGTGAGAATCATGAGAAAGTTCAACATCAGTGGTTCATATACTCTGGTGAGCAATTCACTTTTCCTTTCCTCCCTTCCCCCATATGTAATTTCACGATCAAATTCATTGGTTTATCTTTGCTTGATGATATCCGAAATCACTAATTAATGAAGATCAAACAAACTAAAAAATCGAAAGAAAAAAATGAAGTATGTTCATTGGGATCATTTGGTCTCTCACACAACCCAACGTCGTCCGTGTCATTCTTGGATATTAGATGTAACTATTAGCAAATTGTTTTCCAGTTATCTTTGCAGAAACATATAAGAGGTTTGGGAATTCTCTAGTATCAATTTGCATTTACCATCTGGATCATGTCATGCAGAAAATACCATATAAGTTTTCAAAGGCGTATCTACCATACTCCAAAACAGAGGTAGTTCTTCGGAATCTGCAAGGCAAATGTTGGACTGTAAATTCTGTCCCAGACTCCAAAGGTCGAACGGTGCATACCTTTTGCGGAGGCTGGATGGCCTTTGTTCGTGATAATGACATCAAAATGGGTGATATCTGCATATTTGAACTTGTTAACAGGTTTGAAATGCGTGTGCATATTTCTGGGCCTGGAAGAGAAGGGTTAGATTTCCAACGTGCTTCTTTGTGAGGCAATATCTGCAAATTCAACCTTCCGTTGGATAATATGTACTGCTGCTATTTTTTTTTTCCAGTTAAACGCTTAATTATGGATCAAATATTTTATTTCGGTCAAATGCTATATTTTATTTATAGCAGTTGATATAGTAGTAATATTTTAAAATCCTACCAAAAAAAGTAATATTTTAATAGCAATTCTTAATTAATACAACAAAAAAGATTATATGAAATAATTATTTTGGGTCAACATTTTTTTTTCATTTAAATTATGAAAAAAAGTTAATTATTTATTATATATCATAGTATAAATTTTTTAAAATAAATATTTATTATTTAATTATTATATGTGATGTAAAATAATTAATTGACTTTATCTAATATAATTTGAATCTTAGTATGAATTTTTTAAAATAAATATTTATTATTTAATTATTCTATGTGATGTGTAATAATTAATTGATTTTATATAATATAATTTGAATGAAAGTGATATATATATATATTAATGAAAATGATATATATTGGCTGTTTAAAAAAAAAATAATGAAATAAATATTTAAGTTAAAACTTATTTAAAAAAAAGGAAAAAAAAGTTGAAATATTTGCTTTACTATATTTTACTACTACTATATAAAGGAAATGAAAAATTGAAAATAAATAACATTATTTGAATGAAACTCCAGGTGGAGAGAGAGCCAAAAAGAGATAAAAATCCATGATTGGGGGATTACCGGATGCATTAGGACCGGTTAGAGTCAAAGGAGAGAGGCAGACCAAACATAATGGGGTTTGCGGAAACCAGCCCAGTCCCCGAAGCAGAAACAGTAGTTCAGTTCAGTACCCCACCTACATGGGGACTGGGGAGTGCCAACTACCAAGTGTGGTCCATATGTTTCTAAACTCATGAAGCCACTCCATAACCAAAAAGGCTCGTCCTTTAACGCGGTCACCAGTCCTCCACTAAGTCTCAGCTCTTCAATCTCCAAAGTTGTTCTCTCTCATGTACAAACCATTTCGTGCTATTTACTCATTTTGCTTGCTTTTGCCTGCTCAATGACCTTTGGATTCTTCATTGTTTCTACAGAAACAAAGAATTGAAAAACAAAATGAGCAATAAAAGCAAAGCATTTATCTCATAAACAAACAAAAGCAGGTGGATAATTAATAACTTCCCTTTTCTGGGTTTTATTTTCCACATGCTACTCTATTTTCTTTTTATCTCTTAACTGAACCCGTCAAGGTGAGTGATTTATATTTATCATTTTTGTAGTTGAGTTAAAAAGATTAGTCTGCTTGCTTTCTTCTGGTGGGTTTTCAGCTTCTTGAGATCTGCAGTCCTTTTTGGTGTGATGGGTCTTCAACTCTTTCTTTTTTTATTTTTTGGTTATTCATTTGATTTTGGGTGCAGAGCTGTGTGGTTAAGCAAATGGGAGATACGTGTAAGGATTGTAGGAGCTGGGAAGAGGAAATCTTTTGGACCCATTTTCACTCTATTCATTTCTCTCAATTTCTCCGTGGTGATTATCTTCAGCGGTTGGTAAGTTCCATCTTGACACTGCTTCTTCTCTTCCCTGTCCTAATTTGTCTTTTGATTGGTGTGTATTTTGCTGAGTTAAAGTGGAACCCTTAAAAATCAAGAACTTTGAAGTATGCAGACTGCAGTTCATCTCTTGACTTTACCATGGGGTAAACTGACCACTCTTTTTGGACCTCATTTTTTTGTTATTGGATGCATTTTGGAATTGTTCTCTAGCAATCAAGCTGCAAATTTGAAGGGAGAAAAAGTGATTTTGTTATCATATTCTAAGTCTGCATGCCTTTCCCTTTCTCATGTTAGTCACACTTGCGGCATTTTAGATTATGGGGACTTAGGCAGGTTTCAACAGTAATTTTTACCTTTATTTGGTTTGTTCTTTGCTAGAAAAGTCAGGATTTTTTGCTGCCTTTGTTGTTTCTTTTTCCCTTTGTGGATTATTCACAATTTCTAATACAAGGTTTCACATTGTATTTTAATGACATATGAAACTGCAGGAAATACCAGAAAAGTTTGCTAAGAATATCAAGAAAAAGCTTCCGGAAACTGTGACTCTTAAAGGTCCTAGCGGTATCATATGGGATGTAGGACTGACAACGGATGATGATACCTTGTTCTTCGATTGTGGATGGAAAAATTTTGTAAAAGACCATTTTTTGGTAGAGGATGACTTTTTGATCTTCAAGTACAATGGACTGTCCCATTTTGATGTGCTGACGTTTGATGGCCAGAGCTTGTGTGAGAAGGCATCTTCTTATTTTGTGAGGAAGTGTGTGCATACAGAATTTGATAGTGGATACCAAACAAAAAGAAAGGTGAATGAAAATCCTGATGAAATTGTGCACAACTCTTCACAGTGTGGTCTTGAAAGCAGTCCAGAAAAATCTACTAACAATGACATTGACACGAGGCCATCAAGACAACCTATCAAATCTGCAGCTACTAGTAAGAAGATGCGAAATGTGGGTTCTCCTAGTAGGTCCTTCCGTGCTAGGCAGAGCCTTGGAGGCAAAGAACTTTCTACCCTTGCTGGAGAAGTGAAGGTCAAAACTGGTAGGAGCACTTCTAAAACTTTTTCTATACATAAAACCTGCTTTACATGGTAGATTTGACTTTTGATATAAGTTTGTTGACGCTGAAATATTAGGGTATTCGGAATGATTTATTGCATATTCATTTCTTATGCCTTGTTCTTGTCAGACCCACTTCATAAGTGTGTCTTGTGATTAATGACTAAAATTACAATGTAATATATTGCTTTGCTAGAAACTCAAATTGGGTGACTGATGATTGTACTCTCTTTCCCACCCAAATATACAAATGATTCAGAGTTTGAACATACAACGATGGATGGAGATGTCTTTAGCCCTCAGCATGCATTGGGCAAATGGCCTGTGACTCAAGTTGAGAAAACAAATGTCCTCTTAATGGCACAAGAAGCATTAACCAAAGAAGGTTTTATGGTGGTTATGAAGCCCACACATGTAGGGAGACGGTTTTATATGGTAAACTTCATCCCTGAACTTGATCAAACTTTTGGTTTCATAGTGCTTTCCTTTCTTCAATGACACTGTCGTTTACTTCTTTTAGTCGTCTTATTTTATTAACATGAGCAAAAGATTGGTAGTTTGTGGTTTGTACATATTCATGGTTTCTCTAATCAAATTAGATGATGGTGTTAAAGCTCAGCCTTGTTTATTGGCTTGCATTTTTTGGGTCCATGCAGGCAGTACCTACTGCATGGGTGGCTAAATATCTCTCAAAAGAAAATGCAGATGTGATTCTTCGGGTTAACAAGCGTACATGGAGGACTAGATTTTATTATCACAGAAGCCGAGATTGTGGGGGGCTTTCTGGTGGTTGGAGGAATTTTGTGAATGACAACAAATTAGAAGAACATGATGTGTGTGTATTTGTGCCGGCCGATATAGAAAGAAAACCAATCGTCCTGGATGTCAACATCTATCATGTTCTCCAAGGAGCAGTTCCTCTGAGCCAAGTAAACCCCACCTAGTGCTAAAGGTTGTCCCAAAATGCTCGGAGACAATTATCTCGTAGCATCTCCCAGACATGAACTTGCAACTCAGTCGTGGCATGTTTGACATGTTGTAGTTTTGAAATGAAGTTAATCTGCTTTACTAATAGCCTAATGGAAACTCAACCAGGTTGTAATTATATATGTTCTGATGGTTAATGTTCTGTCACTTATCTCTTTCCATTTAAGTGAGCTTTGTTGCTAGACTGGTTTGATTGTAACCCATGTTGCTGTTTACCAAACCTCTTCTCTAATCTTTGGTGGAGCCCAACTCTTAGCATGCGAAACTAAACTATCTTTCTACCACCATTGTGGAGCCTGTTGTACCTCTATTGTTGGTTCTGTACAATTTTATCCAGCAAATTTTTCTTGTAAAATGTAAGTAAAAGGAACTCAAATAGTTTTGAGTTCAGCTGTCTTTTCCCAGCAACGGTAACTTGCGCAGTGGTAAGCTGTGGCAGCAAAACCCGATAGAGAACACCCAAAGTGGTTTACATTGGAGGAATAAATTCCTGTGGAGGTCTCAAAGAACACAACAATGCCGTTTCTCTTTGGCTGCAGCGAGCACCAGAGCAATGTTTTGCTAATGTTGTCAGTTCCTTGAAGGCTTATGGCAAAGGAAGAAAGGGTGGAGGAGCCCTATCTTCTACAAGCAATGAAGCGCCTGAGATCTTCAAGTTTTCAGCTATCATGAACGGGCTTGTTCTGATTGGCGTTGCAGTTGGCTTTGTTCTTTTGCGCATCGAAGCATCTCTGGAGGGAGCTGATTAGTGAGCACTTCTGTTCAATGATTTGTCTTGATTTCGAGACTGACGTTGACGTGAATTCTTCTTGGTTGTGCGATCAAAACATGCCAGTGATCATTCTAAAGTTTTAATAACTTGCAATAGAGTTAATTAATCGTAAAATAGAAGCATTTTATTCAAGTAGAGATGCATCCAGATCTGGCACTAAATGCATGCCAAAATTTTCATGTCATGCAATGGCCCTTGAAGAAAAGGTATGGAACAAGAATGCAATCAAATTCTACATTAAAAATCCTTTTTACTTTTCTAGAGATACAAAATTTTGAGTTTTGTGCCTTGGCAAAAATCTAGACTAATTTTAGATAGTTCCAACAATGATAAAACTTTTGAACTACATCAAAGATAATTGAGGTTTTGAAGTAGACAGCATAGCAGCCTGCGGGAAAAGCTGAGCAGGAAAGAATCTCGCAAAGAGGAATTAATAGCCAATGAATATCTCTTCAAACATCAAGTGGAGCTCGCAAACTGTGCTCCTCATGCAGAGGGCCTTTGGCATGCAGAAAACAATTGCCAACTAATGAAAGCCATCACCAGAGATGTGAACAATTCAAAGCCCACCACCTTCGGAAAGTGCCATCCCAACCCTCGCCTTAGATAGCTGCCCAAGGAAAAAGGTTTTCATTAAGTATATAATGCAAAGACCATGTATATAATCTAGGATGTCACAGGAAGGTTAAATTGCGGCCAGGCAGAGATAAGGAGAAAGATGTGGGCAGATGCAGTGACACGTTAAAACAAACCTTGTGATGGACGGCATGGTTGCAACAATTCCAGCACATGCATATATTATAGGAATCAAAGTCTTGGGTTTGTTCTTGCGAAGCCACATTAAAGATCCCAATGCTGCAAGAGATATACTCAACACCTGAATGAGAAAAGGATAGAGATGTCCATAAGGAGCGAGATAAACACTAATTTCACTTTTGATTAGAGAAACACATTCTCAAATCTCAAAGTTAAACAATCATTATTCTAGTTTTTGAACACCTTTCTAAATAAACTACAGAATCAAGAATGCCCAACAAGGCAGTTGCAAAAGAAATGTTCGTACCATTGAAGAAATAAACATACCAAATTAGCATTTGCTTCCAGCCCTTGCAGAATATAATCCCAAGTGAATTCTAGTCCTCTAGCTCCCACCCAAAGGGGTGCCAACCTATGTAGAACAGAATCAGCAAAAGCCCATCCTATCAACATGGAAAGAAATAATCCATAGTGCCGAAGTTAGCAAGTGAAAAGAACCATGAAAATTTATGCTTGATGAAGCTCATCTCGACATCTTCAAATATAATTTTTAATCTATCTATCATGTAGATTATTACTGATTTCAGATTTTTATCCTCAATGATTTATTAACTGTTAACATCGGGGCAAAACCAGCATAAAACAATCACTAAAAACAGTATTGGCAATCCTGCTTCAAATTAAGGTATTACTCCACAAATACTTCAAAATGGATTACTGAGTGATTTCAAGCTTCTTGGACTGAATTTAGTCTGAACATTCTATTAATATCATGACAGTTATTTTATTTGTTATAACAATCAAGCCATGCTCCTAGAAATTCAACTCATCAATAATTTAGATGATCTGATGAATAGTGACAGCCTTAAGGGTCAGAAACCACAAACGCAAAAATGATGCTTTTTTTTTTCTAATTTTTATTCGGAACAGGGGAGGAGGAGTATTAGGAAAGGGGCAAAGCTGAATTTCAACTTAAATGACTAGAGTCAAAACCTCACTCACCAAGTCCAACAGCTTGAAATTTATGATTTTGAGAGATGTTCCTGTGAGTCAACTGTGTTAAGGCAAAATAAAGTCCAGCAACATCTATAAAACCAATCAATGCTTTCAAAAGTTCCTGAAAATGCATAAGCAACACAATTACTGATAAGTAGCAATACATAGACTGTTTGTAAAGACTCATGGCAGTGTTACAAGCTACATCCCTAACACACCCTTATGCAAATGTAGACAAGAAAGTAGTAAAAGTTTTCACATTATTGTCTCCCTACCTTTAACATCATCATCTTTAACCGAACCCAAAAACTAGGTTAAATCAAACTTCCACAAACTAAAACCAAATTTTGGAAACAACAAATGTATAATTAGCGCAAAATTCATATTCCACCATGTAGGTTCCAATTTCAGAACCAGAAAAAAAAAAAGCCAATACCTGGTATGGATCAAAGCCATCATTCTCAGACACGTTCAAAAAGGTTGCCAGACAAACAAGCTGCCAAAATTTAAAAACAAAACAAATTAACCATCCAAAAAGCGTCCCGAGAAACACGAGATTAAAATTTAGCACATAATTTAGGGATGCTGATATTTACAAGATGTACTGACCTTTACCAAAGCTGTTCCGAGATAAACAAGGGCAGCTTTAACAGAGGTACCAAGAGTATCATACTCCGATCTGCATACACATAATTTACTATTAATAGAATCATTTATATATATATATATATTTACAAGACTATAATTTAGTAGAAAATAACACTTCTTCCTCAACAAATTTAACTATCTAAATTCTCATAAATCAACTACATAAGAGTAAAATTTTTAAAGAACAACATCCAATTAGTTCCAAAGTATAGCTTTTAAACATTTTAATCAAACTCTTTTGACATTTATTTGATACTAGATTTTAGCTCATTTTTGCTCATAACGGAGAGAGAAAGAAAGGAATCTTTTCGATCGACACACATTTTTCTGATTTCGAACGAACAGATCGAAGCATGAGATTTAACTAGAGCTCATTTGCATTAAATATTACGAAATTAAAGATATTGAAAAAAAGAATATTTTAATCGATTGATAAATAAAAATTACAGAAAATTAGGTCAAATAATCAAGCAAAAAAGGGGAGGAGGGGGACGTACAATGGGGTGGCGGAGTAGTAGACGGCGTGAGGACCGAAGGTGAGAATCGCGCAGTTAAAGAAGTGAAACACAGTCATTTCTTTCTTCTTTTTTTTTTTTTCTCAATTCCAAGTTTCAATCTGATCTTTTGAACAAACGAAGCTTTGATTGTCCCTTGTTTTTGAGAAATTTGACTTTCAATTCTGGACTCTGCTTTAGCATTACGAGAACAAAAATCCGCTCCTAATTGGGCCGAAAAAGAGCCCATTTTCAGGCTTCGAAAATACCTTGAATAACTCATTTAGGCTAGGCCCAAACATCAATACAATAAATCTAATTGGTCACTTCTTGAGCTTTTGGGTAGTTATCAGGGGCCGTAGGCCCGTTAATGATACCGATTTATTTTCTTTCATATAAATTATGGATTATTATTCTCATAAATAAATTATCCGACAATTTACAAGAGAACTTTTCATATATCATTTTATGTTATATTTTGAACGTAACTTTCTCTAATTTATAAGTTTTATAAATTTAGTATTTGAGTTCAGAAAAGTAAGGTAATTTAGATGAAAATTTGCCATTCTAATAAATTTTGCATATTATTTTATTAAAGTGATTATTTCAACTATTTCTTTTTTTTTTTTAATGGAGTTTTCATAATTCAGTACAAAACGAAAAAATTTTATGATGAAAAAGAAAGTTGCTGGATCTTATCCTAATTCCTAAATACAAAAAAAACGAGAGAACATTATTAATTTGTCCATTTGACCTTTTTAGACGGACTTACTTTTTTTCTTCCATACTTTTTGAGATTGGCTTTATCTTACATTAACTTGAAATATCTTCCTTTTTTTTTTTTTGTTTTATAAGTAATATTCGAAGTTTCGTGCCTAGCGTTTTAAATATTGACATCATATCTTGTTATATTTCTGATCTTCTTTCGAATTTTTTTTTTAAAAGTGTATTCAATATAATTTATCAAAAAATTAAATTTTGAGTTTAAAATTTAATTCAATTAATTTATGTAATTGTTAGTGGTATTCAAAAAATCGAAATTTAAATTTTAATATTTGTAATTTTTATCATATTTTTAGATTATGTTTTTTTATAATATATATTTTCAGAAATTAAATAAGAGTTTTGAATTACAGTTTAAATTCCCAAAAAAAAAAAATGAAATTTATAAGATTATAAAATGTGCTTTTATAGCATACAACGCCAAGCTTGACGAATCTTAATATATTATAAAAAATAATATTAATTAGAATTGATGGGTCATGGGACAATAACTATGAGTTTCTAGACTGCACTAGAGCAACTGTATTTTTAGAATTTTAATTTTGAAAACGATTTGTCAACTTTTAGAGACGATATTTATTGTCACTAATTCCTCTAAATTTTGTAGTATTACCACACATAGCAGCCTAAATAGGAAATTATTGTGACAATTGGACGGTCTTGGGTATTAAACTAAATAAATAAGTATACATTCTTTAAATTTTAAACAAACACCTAAAACAACGTACAACGAATAAATCATGATGAGAAAGAATTAATGACTTTTTCATTACTAAAAATTTTCACCTAACACTTCAATTAAAATTATATATAAAATAAATAAGTGTTGAATTTTTAATTTCAATAGTTAAGGTTTAAGTTAAAAATATTAATTCAAATCTCAAAAGATTTGATGATAGATTTGTTTGAAATATTTTAGAGATTTATTAGATATTATTTAATGGATAAAATGACTTGAAAGACAAAAATTCTAAAAAAAAAATGATTTTTTGTGAGCAAGTTGGGGGCTTATAATTAATAAAACAAAGTTTCATTGGATAAGGTATGCAAAAAATATGTAAAGAATGCCATAGGATTTTATTGGATGAGATTAAAGGAAATTGAGAGTGTCCATAGATGTATATGTATGAATGCATATGGATGTTTGATTTGAGATTTCTTCATTAGATTAAAGGAGAATAAGAGTCTATGGAAGTGGTGAGTGTTTATTTGGGTTGGGATTGATTTATGTTTGGATTTTGTTAAGTTTTGAGTGTTGATATATCTATAATTAATTAATATTTTGTTGAATATCAAAATACATTGAACTACGATGTCTTACTTGAATGATTAAGTGAATGATTTATTATTCGAATTTTTTTCATTTATTTTGTGATTGATTGGCCGTTTGTTCTAATAACTTCAAAGACTAATATATATATATATATATATATATATATATGTCCAAGGCCGTCTCCTATCTCAAGCTGTCCTTCTCTATTTGAAGCATTTTTAAATCTGATTGTTCATCCCTTCTTTTTCCCAGGCTACACTTGGATTGAATCTGCTTAATGGGTTAAACAGTCTAATCTTTCTAATATTCATTTTTGAACTTGTCTGCTTGTTTTTTTTTTTTTTCTTTTCATTCAAGCCACCTAATAGAAAATGATCAAACTCCAAATTCTTTGAATTGACCTTATCCCAAATTAAAGCCTCTCTTAGCCGGTAAGATATTTTCTAGCAATATAGAAACAAAATTATAGCATATATTACATACTTTATTATTCATTTTGCCTTCCTAGTAATGCCTCAATATGGCAGGTTGGACAAGGAATTAAGGGTGGAACAAAACCCATTGCCAAACAGAAAAGCTGACCATTCTATTCACTATAATCTTTTGTCTTCATGACGTTTTCATGTGATTATATTTTACAAGGAAAATCTGTATTAAGGAATATAGAAATGATGTAATCATCTTAATAAATAGAATGAAGGTTCAAAACTTTTCAAAACTAATAATTTTGATACGTCATGGGGATGTTTTTATTCCTTCATGAAAGGGAAATGGAGAGAATTTTAATTACTTTGATGTTGACATTGTCAGGTTTAGTTTTCTCATATTCTATTAATGAGGATTTTGACAATTGACAAGGAAAAAAGAGCATTCTTTCTGGCAAGATTAGAATGAGTCAGAACAAGGAAGGGAAGGTGAACTGAAGATGGGTGAGAAAAAAACACACAAACTTTTTTTTGGTCCCAAAAAAAAAAAAGTGTAAATGTGGTCCAAAAGGACCACGACAACTATGGAAAATAAATAAAAAATAAAAGAGACTTCAAAGGACAGTGTCACGAGGATGTGTTGACAAGGTACCCGGAAACACAACAGGGAAAGGAAATTTATTACTCCATTGAATTGGCCAAGCAAGTGCCGGGAAAAAAAAAAACCTCTGAGAAACATTATAGGATTATGCATGAGGTCATCAGGATGCAATGCTAGCTCTTTACTTACCATTTGCTGCAAGAAACCATCTTCTTCTTTTATATTTTGTGTCTTGTACAAATAGATTACAACTACCACTCCGGGAAATGGAAAATGACCCTAAGAATATCCTCAATAGATTGTGAAAAAAGTGGGATCAGAGAGTTCATAAATTTTGACACTTCACCTATTTCCAAATTTTCGTTTGAAACAAATTTTCAATTTGTTAAAAAATCTCATTCTTTTAAAGTTAATCCAATTTCACCCAAAAAGGGTATGAATCTATTTTTTTAATACAATTGGACTTTGTCTGAATCTGTATTCCCTCTGGAAGATCTTAAACGCGCAATATATATATATATATATATATATATATTAAGAATGTTTTTCTTGCTTACAAAAAAATCGAGTCTTGATTGACGAAAAAAATTAAATTAATTACATCCCCATGACAATTACTTCAATTTTAGCTTCGGAATTTCAAGAAGTCAAGCAAAAAACAGTTTAACTAAAAGAGGTAGGCAATTTCTTGGTAAAATAATTGCTACTAGCTGCCATGCACAATTGCATGATCAGATCATATGAATACGATCAATTGGACTCTTAGTTTACTATTTAATTTAGTTGGGTAAGCTTTTTTCCCTGCATTAACTCTTTTCATGAAGGGGCAGACGAATTCTCAGTGGCCACTGTGAAATCCCAACAAAGAACTGATTTCAGGGCATGAGTTGCCTGATAGTGGGTCATGTTACGTTTAAGAACAATCCATCCAGCTCCATTTTTTTTTTTTTCAATCAACAAAACTGATCAACATAGCTGTTGAAATTGAAGACTTTGTGGGTAAAAAACCCTGTTCAACTGGGAACTTAGAGACCTACTACGCATGACAAATAATCATACCACACTTAATTACAATCTTCACTTTCTGCTTTTTCGGGAAAGTGTTTTTAAAGACTACTTTTTTAAGTTATAGGGCCCTTTTCCTTTGCAGCATCCTTTGTGTCTGATTAATTGCTCGGCTCCACTCAACTTTTCATTTTTCAGTTCATGAATCAAGATGATTCGTACGTACCATCTTCTATCTTCATCTTTTTTTCTTTGGGTCAATTCCAAATTTCATTAAATTGATGTTATGATACGTGTAGAGAGGGGGGACAGGTCTCGTTATTTGCTCTCTTAGGTGGCCAACAGGCAAGTTATCCTGCATCGATCAGCTTCTGTTTACACTTAACCCGATGAAGCCCTTCCTATGACTGAGAACTGAGATTGAGACACCAGATCAAAGAAGAGAAGAGAAGGGTTTTCAATGAACTGAATGAATGTCATTTTTCTTTCACTTTCTATTTAGTATTAGTATTTATTTTCTCTTTCTTTTTTGCATGTAATAACTGACAAAACTTAAATATGATTCAAATTCAATTCTCTGGACATACAAAAACATACTTTGAACATTGAATCAAATATTAAAATGTTTTGAGTGTTTGATGGAACATATTGATTAGGTACTAGTTATTTCATAGTATTTCAATTTGATCAAATTTTGTTTCTTCTGTGATCAGCATGGTCGATATTACTCTGTTTGGCTTTCCTTACTGTTAATCACCAAGATGAGCTGTAGAAAGTTGACAAACCAATCAGCGAGGCCCCTAGGATAGTAACAGCAAGATCAGAATTCAAATCCATGCAAAAAAATTAAAAGATAAGATTCCAAGTATCAAGGTCTGAAGTCGTTTTCAATTTTTATTTTATTAGTTTAAGCTGGTTTTCAACAGCTAAAAAACTATTGTTAGGGTTGCGTAGGGTCTGACTTCATTCACCGTAGTAAATAGAGGAGTACTAATTGACTTCATTAATGTTTTGTTCTCTTCTCAAAACTGGTTTCACTTTGCCTAGGAACGCTCTCCTTTCCCCCTTTACAGGCAAAAAGTTGCCTAGCCATTTGATCTCTTTTAATTACATTCACCATCATTGATCAATTATTGAACTTTTTAAATGCTGGTTTTGACCAAGTTGTGTTTATTCTAGTTATTAAGATCTTAATTACAGTTAAAGTAGTCTTGCTTTCTTTTTCATGCAGAGCATCAAATGTCATCCAAATTAAGACGGAAGAAAATTCTACAGAAACCAACGGAAGGGACGTGGGATTGGGAGCCAGCCAGCCAACAAGCAAGCCAGGGTTGGTTTTTTTATTCTCCTTTTATATACTGTTAGTGTATGTGATGTAATGTCGTGGTGCACGTCAGCCTAAACGCCGTTGATTTCGGTGATTCCTTCCTTTCTCTTTTGTCTGTTCTCTCCGCAAAGACTCTAAAAGGAGTGGGAGAAGGTGATATACGTATTCAAATTTCAAAGCAACACATGCCCTGTTAACCTAATCTCACGAATCACCATGAAGAAGCTAATATTCTTCCAATTGGAAATAGACATTTTTTTTAATCTTCAAGACAAAGTTGAGTATGAAAAGAATGAACCATTAAAAAAAATACTTTTTTGCATGATTTGCAAATCACAATTTAGTCTTTAATGCTGGACTCTTCCGATCTTCACTTCAAAAATCAACACTTACCCAAACTTTGTTAAATCAAGTTGATCTTAGTTTAGGCTTAGAATCGTACAACAGCAGTGAGAAATGAGAGATCGATGACCATCGATGTGTTAGCCAGGAAGATTATATATTTAGTTATGTACTATGAAGCTATGGTTAGGCCTTAAATTTATTTCTTCGGTGGCCGACAGGCATTTACCAGCAAATAATTTTGGTCATTAATTAACAATGGTAATTAAGTACTAACATGTCTGTTCTTGCTTGATCTGCACTGCATCCATCATTTCTTCTTTTTCAAGAGGAAAAGCATCACATTAAAAACATTTATACATCATGTAAAATCACAGCTACCAACTGGGGAAGGTGCTGAAGCCTATTAAAATTGTAAGCACTGTTTCTCCATGAGAGTCCTATCGTCTAAATTCTTGATATATGATAATGGGTCCCCTTTCAGAAAATGATATAAAACTCTAAGCAAGGTTAAAAGATTTAATGAAAAGAGAGAGAAAAAAAAAAGGAGTAGGAAATATTGTTCTTATAAGACAAACACATGGAATATGGAATATAACCCAAAACATTTGACAACATTGCAAGTGAGCCATAGAGAGACATGTTGACCGGATATTACCTCACTGCAAATGTGTTAATTCAATAATCCAAACCCCACACACACAAAGAGAAAGAAAACAAAAAAGAATTTAATTAGACTCAAAATAAACTAATCTCAGAAGAAACCAAAAAAATTTCCATTTCCCGGAGAATCTAGAGCGCATCAGGCGCTGACCGAGGGCTTCGAAAACTATTAACAAATGATTAAAGCATTTAAACATATCTTTTTTTTTTTCGTTCTTCTTCTTATTCTGGTTCTAGTCATCTTGTTGTTACTATTTGATCAATTCTTAAACAAATGGGATTAAATAAAAGGAGAGGGCCATGGGGGTTCGAGAATATGAGAATAAATTAAAGGGAAATTTCAGCAAATAAAACGGGGATTTGAAGGAAGAAAGAACAAGAGAAGAGAACAAAAGAAGAGCTTAAGACCTAGACAAGGTCACTTCCGTAAGGTCACGTGATAAGAACCATGTTGACGCCGAGGAATATGGTCTTTTTAAATTAGATTAAAAATTTGGGTTTGTGGTTCCACGCGCGGATGGGGCTCGACAGCAACTATTTTTTAGGTTAAAACAGGAATATTTGGACACGGAGAGGGAATATTGGGCATCAGGGAAGATTACACACAAATACTACCCGTTGAATTGAACGATTAAGTTTGGGTAGCCTTTGAATTCTTATTTGCTTTCTTTCACGTGTCCACCACGCGCCTCACACTTTGCAATCCACTAGTTTTTATTTTTGGACTGTAAATTTGTAATAGCCAATCTTTTGCATACTTTACACAGTGAAAATTCATGAATTTGATATCTCTTTAATTTATAAAATTATTTTTAAGAGATAATTTTTATTAAATTAAAATTTTAGATTTTATTCTAAAAAAAACTATATATGACATAATGTAATATATTGTCAATAAAGTACAAGTATTATTTTATTCTTTCCTGTTTCTGTTTTTATCATTCACTAATTTACTCATGACCTTGTTGAAATCGATGCAATTCTCCCTTTCTTTTTTCTCCTTCTTGTCGCACTTATTATATATATATATATATTAAAAAATGTATATATCTCCAATCTTCAGTCCAAATTTACTCAAGAAAAGTACTAGCTAGTCCTTTTAACAGGAAAATCACTATTTTGGATCTATGGCTGACGATAAAAATGAGTCAATTAATGTGTACGGGTAGAGCAGCTCAATGAAAATGATTCAAGTGTATATAAAAAAGTCACCAATAAAAATTGATTCAATTTTTTTCATTATTCAATTGATAAGCTAGAAGTTTGAATTTTACCAATGATTTTTTTTAAATAAATATATTTTACTTGGATCAGAGAGACTAAACAACTTAATTACTTATCCCGAATTTTTTTGCAGAAAAGAATATATAAGAGGGTCGGATTGGGGCTCACGGGAGAGAAAAATGGCAAAGAAAATTAAGATTAGGGCGCGTGGGAAAGTAACAGTGCAAAACTTAAATGAAAATAGGGCCAAGGAAAGAGTTGCATGTGGGTCTGCGACCCTGGTGTCGCCGGTCACCCCGGCCAATCAGACACTGCTCCTCTATTAAATAGTCACTGGCTCCCTGCTCCATATTCCATCCCTGTTACTCACAAGACCATAATTTTTTCATACCCACACACAAATTTCTATCTTAGCAACTTCTTCCCACGTGTACAGCTCCATGCTCATTGGCAATTCAGGTTTTTGCTACGTGCCCAGCAGGACTCTAACACTACTACTACTCTACGCACAGGATACTTTTCCTTTACCCACTTGCCACTTGACCAAAGCTGGCAAATATGGTCGATTTAATCGAGAGTTTTTAAGAGTAGGGGGTGAACCTGAAATCCCCATTAAATGCACTTATGGGTTTTCTATTTTTAAGCACAAAACCCACAGCAATTCAGGGTAAAATCAGGTTTTTGATAAACAAGAGAAAAAGGGTAAGTATGTTTTGGTATATATAGCATGAGATTAATGACTGTTATTAGTGCATAATTATGATTAAGTTTTTGTCGCTTTGTTAAAACTCTCAAAATAAATATCAACATCGTTACAGCTTAAGCATAACATCATGTGTTAGGCAGTATGCTTTCAAAGAGAGTAGAAAAAAATGTTAAAGAGGGTTTATGTCACCTCTGCATGAAAAAGACCTAGTAATAATAAATTAAAAGCAGCTGAATTTTTTGAGCCAGGGATATTTTTGGCCTGCCCTGCCAGTCAATCCTGGTATAAAGAAATGAAAATGGGGAATATTCTAATTCTGGGAAAAGCTAGGAAAATTAAATTAATAAGATAATAATGTTGTGAAGATACAAAAAGAGTAGGGGAATTCGAATGGGGGATAGCGATCCTTTGCAAGCCAAGGTATTGAGACTGATTGATATCTAGAGAGAGTGAGAGAGAAAGACTGGATTTCCATTCCAAATATTCCATGGAATAGTACCCTTTTTTTTTTCTCGAATTCCAACCATTCCCTGGCATAAACCACCATTATATCCCTCGCTGGCACCTCCTTTTTCATTCCCCATTATAAAGATAAGGAAAAAAAGGACCCCTCTTTCCTCTCCCATCGTTTCTCTCACTTTCTCTTTCTCTGGGGAGGAAAGGTCCCTGATCCTTCTCTGCATCCTTAAATACATAAGTTGCCCTTTTCACTTTCCTTCAAACTATCATCCCCCAAAAAAACTCTGTTACTTACTTTCTCTTTTCCTGCAATTGTTTTTGCTTTTTCTGTTTTTGTTTAATCTGACTGGTTGTAGTCTCTGCAATTTTTTTAAACCTCTGATCTTTCTATCAAACCTAGAGGGATCCTACTAAAAAGCCTATATTCTCTTCACACACTCACCCACAACACCCATGCAAATCATGAGGCACTCATGATATAATCACAACATTTCCCTTCGGTTCCTTTTCAGCTCTCTCTTCATTTTTTCACCTTCGAAGTTCTAACCCCACTTTTCCTGTCCACTCTCTTCATTCATTCTCTCCATTTTAGTTTCTTGTCTCGATCGGTTAGCATACCTCTTGCAGGGCCTTTTGACTAAGATCTTCACCTTTTCCTTGTGTTCACAAGCTCAAATACTATAATGAGAACCACACCTTTGCCTGATCTATCCTTGCAGATTAGCCCACCAGCGGTTTCATATTGTAAGGCTAAGGAAATGGCCTACGATGGGTTATCGAGAAAATCAACCAATAGTGATAGAAGCTCAACGACTGATTCTGGCAGCAGCGGAAGCGATTTGAGCCATGAAAATGGATATAGTAATCCCGGTTCTGGAGAGCCAACGTTGAGCTTAGGGTTTGAAATGTCAGATTTGGGTCCTTCCAATTTACAGCAACCAAGAAACCTTCATCATCATCACCATCAATATCAGCCACAAATCTATGGTCGTGATTTCAAGAGAAATACAAGGATGATCAATGGAGTGAAAAGAAGCATTAGAGCTCCCAGAATGAGATGGACTACAACCCTCCATGCTCATTTTGTTCATGCAGTCCAGCTACTTGGAGGACATGAAAGTAATACACTTCATTACCTAAGATATCTTTTCATCTGGGATATATTTACCTTTTCTCTTTCCTCCTGTTTGTGCAAAATGAAAATCTTTGTTGAAAAAAGCATAACAAGTTTACACCTTTGTATTGGCAACTGTCACAGGAGCAACACCAAAATCTGTCTTAGAGTTGATGAATGTCAAGGATCTAACCTTAGCTCACGTGAAGAGTCACTTGCAGGTGGGGTTACTGTGGACAATCTTCGTTTCTTTGAACTTATGTATGAGAATTGTTGCTACTAGTATTTTAGTATTTTTTGATTTTTCATGGTTGTTTTTGTGCCTTTATCGTGTTCTATTTTTGTATTTCTATATGATTCAACTGTAGTGGGTGTGGAGAAACAAGGGGTAAGGACAAAATAGCATCTATATGGTAATCTTAGCAATGTGGACTTTTTCTCACTATCTCTAAGGTGTTCTGTGTTCATGCAGATGTATAGAACAGTGAAGAGCACTGACAAAGGATCAGGTAATTGGATTTTACCTCTGAGGACTACAGCAATTTTATTTCTCTTCTTATTTCTTCTTTTTTTGAGAGCTAACTTGGTGACCAGGTATGACAGAAGCTCTATCATTTGATCCATTATTCCCCACTAAACCAGAACCGTTTGGAACGATTAGACTGACTTGAGTCTAAATATGAATTATTTGACGGGTGTCTGATAATGCAATAGCAGTGCCTCAACCTTTCGTGCATTTTTCAGGTCAAGGGCAGACAGACATGAGTTTGAACCATAGGACAGGGATTGTTGATTTGGATGGAAGACTATCTTCCGGAAAAGCTGATACCAACCCCTCTTATTCTCTCAAACCATCACCAATCTCACCACAATCGACACCACAAAGGACCCAAAGGTGAGGACATCCGCAACATTTCCTCTCTCTCTCTTTCTCTCTCTCTCTCTGTTTCCTCTTAAATTGCTTAATTCATCTCAGAAGCTGAATCATGACCTTTTCTATCTTCAAAAAGTTAAATATAAAATAATGCCTAATTAAATGGATGCAATAACTCAATACGATCGTACATGCACGCATATACACGTATCGTTGGCCATGGACTGTTTTGGTCCTACATTTTGTCTGTCATTGTTTATGGTGTAGATGAGGCCAGTATGTTAGAGTCCCAAGTACATAGATTTTGATGAAGATGACCTAGGGTTTTTAGGTATGCTATTGTTTTTCGTGTTCCATTCCAAAAACAAGTTCGATCATCTCTCACCCGTTAGATTTAATTCGAATGTTTTAATCCCAATACCTTCTAATGAAAGTCAAGGTTGTTCGTTCAAATCTCAAGGCTGCCATAATCTGACGGCCATTTCTTTATCTACATTTTACAAGAAGCAGCCTAAAGGACTAAACTTTCCATCACCTTTCTACTTATTTGTTGATCCAGTAATTAATTAATTAATTAATTAATTATATCCCGCTGTTTGCTGCTTCCTTTTGTTGACTTCCCCAAAAAATGGCTTAGTATAATATAATCTTGTAAAAGCTAGATTTTATTGTTGCGTTAATTCCTAATCTGAGATATGTTAAACAAAGAGTTGCATGCTTTCCCCATGCTCTACATTATTCAACAGAATCAATTATACCATAGATCATAATCACTTTCCAATCATATATTCGGAAAGCCAATCTTTTACACGTTTTAAATTAATTAATGAATTTCATCTTGAATTAAATCATTATATATAAACAGTTGGAAATAGACTGTAAATTAATAAGATCATTTAAACATGAAGGGGGATTTGGTTTAGAGCCTAATAATTGTTGTTGCTGGCTTTGTTATATTTGTTCCTTCTATTTCTACACACATGTTACTCGTCCTGGAGGATGAGTTAATCTTATTTGGTGTTTCCTTACTTTGTTTGCAGCGTTTCATGGCTATCCTCAACGGAGACAAATAATTTGAGCATATCAAGCAATGGAAATAGTTTGACTTTTAAGCCAAATGATGCTAAGGTATGATTGCATCACTGAAACAAAATCCAACATGTTGAAAGTTCAATTTGCTATCATTGTGCTAATTATCTATCGTATGACGAATTTTGGTTTTGCCATAGGTGGATGGAGACAAGGAAGTTCTTCATGTGTCGGATAGAATGAAGGAGAGATTAGATTCCAGCTCCTTGTCACCTTCAGACATGTTCCTTAACCTAGAATTCACCCTCGGAAGGCCAAGCTGGAAAATGGACTATGCTGAATCTTCAAATGAGCTAACCCTTCTCAAGTGTTAGACACCATAAAACCAGCTAATATAATGTTTTTTCCTGTTAAATTGGGGGAAATTTCTAACTTGCATGAACTAGCTTGTTCCATGTTCTTTAAACTTCGTCAAGAATAAAAAAGAGTGAAAGGAAGTTTCTGACTCTTGATCACATATGAAAATTTTTGCTGTACCCTTGTGAATGTCGTCGAAACGCTCTTGTTCCATATAATTTTGATGCCATTGTGGAAAAGCAACCGGTATACTAAAATCAAACAATCATCTTGATATTTCTGGGCCATGGTCTATGGTCCTTGCTAGCCTAGGGTTATGCAGCCGTCCAGTAGGGTCCCCAACAATGAACCGGTGGGTCAAGCCCTAGTGCAAAATATCTTGGACAGTTTATGTCAATCAATTTCGCATTCGGTGCTCTCTGCGAACATTGAACTGGGTATGGCCCTGCCTGCCTCCGTGACCATGGATATGATTGTAGCCAAGACTTGAATGCTAATGTCGCATAGACGGAGCTGAGGGCTCTGGCCTTAGAAGTTGGAACGTATGATTTGATAAGAGATGGTCCATACTCCATAGTCCACACATATAACACGTTTACTGAAAAATAGTAATAATGACCCTATTTTTCAGAATGATCATGAATCATGATTGTTCTTCTTCATATTGCCATACGAGCTGTGACCTTTTATATAGTACCATTCCAGTATCGATACATGCCGAGAAGAAGCTAAAGGGACCACCAATTTTGGCTGGTTTTCAATCGACTACTGGATTAATCCAAGAGTTTTAAATATCCAACTTACTTACTGGGATTTCTTTGTTTTGGACTTGCCAGGAAAAAAAAACACTCCTATATATGATAATTCATACGGACATGTATATTTCATGTACAAAATTACAAATGTGTCGGCAAAATAAGACTGCTGATTATAAATTCTCCATATACAGCCAAATTGTTTGAGGTCCCCTCCCCACCCCTGCTCAATGTCAACTTGATCAATTTTCATGAAGAAGGATAGCAAATCTTTAGTAAAAAAAATAAAAGATAAAAACCTCAGTAATTTGGCTAGGAACCAGTAGGGTTTGACAATAAACTTGACATTGCATCTTTGTAATTAAACCTTATGATAACTTTGAACTTGAAATTAAAATCAAAGGGATGATTATACCCTGTTATGAATTAAAGTCCAATAAATATGACAGTCATAAATGGAGGCGCACGCTCACAAAAGCCATTACAATAAAAGCAAACATACACCCTGTTTTCCCCATTGTTAGTTGTCGTGTAATTAGCGCACGCCCCTTTCTTCATCACTTCATCACTGCAGTGTAGAAATCAGAAAATGAAATCTTGTACTTTTTCATTTGGATATATAGCGCACTGTCGCTATCAATCTTTTATTAACCAAGACTTCAATTCTTATTCTTGCCTGGCCTGCCTGTAACAAAAACCAAAAAGAAAAGAAAAGAAAAAGGCCCGTCAGATCTGTGCTGATTATCAGGTGGGCTCCTCCAATAGTAAAAAATCAAAATATTTATGGGCCTGTTCGACTCTGTCTTCTGCTTTTTGCCATCAGGCCTTTCAAAAACTTGGGGCCCAAAGGAATACAAAGAAAAAAAAAAAGAAGAGGGTGTTGGCAATTGGGAACTGGTCCTTGTTTTCGTCGATAATGATTGCATGGTTGTCTGTTGCGTGGAAATTGTATCTATCAAAGACAGCGTCACTTTTGGGAGCGCCCACCCCAACAAAAGCAAAGACTACTGAGAAAATTGTCATCATTTCTGGTTTCTATAAAACCCTTCTTTTAGCTGTTCTCAACGAAATTTCCAGGCGGTTTTGTTATTACATGTATAATCCCATGTTAAAAAGATCTTTCGGAAAAAATACTTATGTACCCTGTTTTCCACTCCTTTCTTTGAAGCTTCTTTTCTTGTCTTGAGCTCTGTCTGTTTTTCTCATTTTTGTGTATATAATGGAAATTGCAATTTTATATACCATACATACAATCTCCAGACAAATTATAGAGAATTTTGTTGATTTAATCGTACGTATCTTTTTTCAGTGGAGATGTGGTCCCAAATTGAAGTATTGATGATTTGCTAGTATTACTGGTGTATTTGAATTTCTTGGTCATTTTTCCTTTGACGCCAATACCTTAATGTAATCCCCAGAAAGGGAACTCTTCACTGTGAAATTTAGTAAAGATTATGTGACTGATGGTATGAACAAGTCAATATTGGCTAAAGGGTTTCATATTTTAATTGCGTTAGTTTAATATAGAAAAGGAACCCAACCTTCTGAGCCCTGATTTAGTGAATGCTTTACTCTGCACTAATCTGAACTTCATTTGGGAGAAGAATCATGCATAAAGGAAATAATTATACATCTATGCAACAATTTGAAATTATATAAAGAAACAAATTTGATTGTTCATGGTTGAATGTTGTTGGATTTTTAGCTATGCTGCTGAGACGTTCCTTGATTCTGTTTGATATTTTGACTTCATAAAGCAAGTACGGTATGTTCACTTTTCAAGCCACCTGTGATTCTTTGTTAATTTACAAGTACTGTTGCACTTGTTCATTTGGGCTTCTTGTCAAAACCATGTTGGATAACCTTCATGTCTCCAGAAAAGTACTTCTTTTTGTGCATGTTACTGAATAATTTCAGAGAAATATTAGTTGTTTGTTGGCCTGTTTGGATGAGTTTCAACCCCTTAATACAATGTTCAAACAAAGGGGAATTTTGATTTATTGTTTAGAGTACTTCTTACATTGACTTTCTTCATAGGTCATGATTTCTGCTATAATTGTGGTTTTGTGCAACATTGACTGTTCCTATTTTGCCTGATTTAGGCATTCTTAAGGAATGTTTTAATGCCATTTTTTTTCTGCTTTTCACATTGTCTAAGCAAATGCTATATACGAAGAGAAATTCTTGGGGATGTAACTGTAAATGGCATCATTCTGTTAGTTTTAATTTGTCTGCTAAACCTCTGGAATTTAATGGGAAGGAGCCTGAAAATATCAGTCTTATATTGAAGTAAATTGTGGTAATGTTGCCTGAAAAAATTGCATAATAGAAGAAAATGAATCATTTAGATAGTATGTTAAGCACATGGGTCACTGAGGTTTTCTTCTTGTCGTTATTTATGTACATTGAATTAGTTCTTTATATGTTCTTAAAGAACTTCAATTTATATTTCCAAACTAATTCTCATTACATTAATTCTTTTGGTTCTGAAAATGAAGGATTTAAAAGTAGCTTGTATTTTGCTATCTAGCCATCCTTGATCTATTTTTTTAGTGGCCCATTACGTTGCTGATGTTTGTAAATTTCATCAATCGTAATTGACATGCACTGCTGGAGTGTTGCATCTAGGTTTTGAGTAAAATAGTGAAGAACAAATGACATCAAGTGATAATATGCCTCAGAAAACTGAGAAATTACTCCTGCATTCGTGTTTGGTAACAGTTCTACCCCCCCCCCCCAACCTGGCTGCCAAAGTGCATGTTAGAGTTGACTTTCTTGCTTTATTTCATTTTGATGTTACTATCTGGAGTATGACGTACATGGGATAAAACCGAACAAGTGGTAGAAACCTCATAATATATTCTTTGCAACATTAAAATTTTCTGCAGATGAAGTAATGAGTAGTTTCTGCCCCAGAACTACCAAAAAATGGATAAAACAGAACAAGTGGTAGAAGATCCTTGCTAGCAAGTCTTTCTGACCTTGGCATAATATATATAATGTCCGAGTTGTTTTTCTTTATTGAAATAATGCAGACTCTAACTTTTAACTAGAATACTAAGCTAAACAAGGATCAGATAAAACAAACATATGATTCTGGCCAAATAAGTCAGGTTAAGATTGAAACCTCTGCTATCGATTTATTAAATAAATGAATGATTTCTCAAGACGGTACTTATTTCGATTTAACCAAAATTCCTCTTAAAAATTATGGAAAAACCATAGATTATTAGGCACAATTTATGTCTGTTGTTGTCATAGGATACAAGGAGCAATGGAACAAACAAAGATTCCTCAATTATTTTTGTGGCACATGGCAAGGTGATGTCTTTCAATTTTTCAAAAAATGGGAAACTACAACCCTTAGAGAACAGTAGAAATCAACTCTATTAGCCATAAGAAATATACCTCAACTTTTAAAAGATTTAACACAAATCTTAAAAAATAAGTTTTGTGGTAGTACAAAATCCCTGGATCCCACTCAAGAAACTCAATTTATTTTATCAAAATTAAAATTATATGATATTCAGTATCTTAATAATTTTTCTAAAAAATATATTTTTGAATATAAAAAATTAGATGAAAAACATTCAAACTTTTGGTTACAACAATATTTTCTCAAACTTCCCTCACCATGGGATGAATTATGTTCACAAAATTACCCTGTTTATTTAGAATTAAAACTCAAAACAGTTCATGCTGCAAATTTCAGTATAGAACTTTATGATACTCTTGGATGTAGAATACATTACGTTCAAAACCAAGTCAACGAATATTGCCTCAAGCAAAAAGTTACCAAGCAGGTAAAATCCAAACTTTCGTATAAACAACGTACAAAGATTTTGGAAAATGAATTTGAATTTGGCTGCAATAAACAGTCTTTTTCAACGAAACATCGTTTTAAGAAAAAACGAAAATATTTTTGAAAAAAGTGGAAACCTACAACCACTTTTAAACCTAAAAAAAGGTAAATTTGTTGTTAAAAAGAAGAAAAAATCTTCTAAACATAACTGTAAATGTTTTCTTTGTGATAAAAAAGATCACTATGCAAACAATTGTCCTAACAAAGGCAAAAGTGCAAAGAAAATGATAAAAAAACTTAATGAAACTTTTCTTCAAATTTGTTTTACTGATGAATTATCTGACGAAGAAATTTATTATGAAGTTTTTTCAGAAACTAATTATAGTTCTTCTAAAGATGAATCGGATTTTATTTTTATGATAAATACTGAATCTAACCAAGATAATATTTTTGTAATCTCTTTTACCGGTATAACAACTATCAACGAAGATGGAATGGTCAAACTAAAAAATATAATGAGAAAAACTCATTTTATTTCTGATGAAAAACTAAAAGAATTACAACTCATCAAACCAAATGAGATTTACAAAACAAGTTGGTTTAAACAATTCCAACCTTGGTCTAAACACCATATAAAAAAACTATTTGGTGATACAATCGCTAACGATTTTCAACAAGGATCGATAAAAATCTCTCTTTTTACAAAAAAAAAAAGCCATTTTCTTTCTCGATATCCAAAGGTCAAATACATCCATATAGGAATGATTTTGATCACCATTAAACCACTCTTTTTATTCACAAAGGATATTTTCATAATAGCTGTTTTAATGGATCACCGTTTTCAAAACCCTGTAAATACTGTAATTAGTGGAATCCAATCCAATTTAGCAGTAGGAGTAGTTTTATTCAAAGTTAAACCAAACTAATTTATTTCTATTTTTGATGAAAACATTGAAAAATGTTTATGCCTTCGAATCAAAATAACCAATTCTGATTTCGAATCTACTTCGCATGATCTTTCAATCAACTGGTCAGTGGTTTATGAATTTACAAATACTACTAATACTTCTATCAAACCGATAGACTCCAATATTATTAAAATTTTTGAACCAAATAATTTTGATTCAGAAATTAAACCAAAACTAGTAAATCTCACAGATTTATCAATCTCAAAAGGATGGTGTCTCAAAGATCTTTCAAATACTTATGAAAAACAGAAAGTACCAAGTCTAGAATTTTTCTCATCAGGAAAAAATCTTTACTTCAAAAATCCAAATGAATCAGCCAGTTTTAATCAAAACCTGATTTTACCTCATACAAATGCTTTTGATCATCAATAAGATGATGATACAGAAAGTATAACAAGTAATCAATCTTTTTGTACTCCTTACCGAAGTTCTTTTTCAGGTTTTCATATTACAATCAGT